GAAGTCGATTGTTGTTACAATTGAACGATGTGACAAGGAAAGCGGAATTTCACTACCGTCATGTGAGAGGGGCGAGGGTGTGCGGGGCACAACGTATTGGCTTTGGCGATGTGCGGGAATGCATTGAGACCATTTAAACGGATTCAAGGATCGCTTGGTAAACTGTTAAGCCCTATGGGAAATGCCTGCAGTCAGAGCGAGAGACATATATGCGCCCAGTTAGCTCTCCAATTTCCAGTTTCCAGCTGTGCTGTGGAGCAGCGTTGTGGCTTGGTGGCTGTGTGTGAGCTGGAAAACACTATTTTGTGTCAAGTAGTGTGTCAGTTGTTCGACTGAGAACCACTAGACATATTTAGAGACGGCTACGAGCATTAAATTTGCATTTTGTCTCTCTCTCTCTCTCTCTCTCGACGCAGCAAAGTCAAATGTCATAGCACCATTAGCAATGCTTGAACTGACTCTCGATAGTACAGCCAATTATCGATCTTTACAAGCAGACGTTGATGGATTTGATTGCCCTGCTGTTCTCTGTCGCTTCTCCACAGCTATCGATCAAGGAACAGCACTTGAGGGGCGGTCTCATTGCCCCCCATGCCCCTCCATTGCTCTGTCCCTCTTCGTTTGGCGCACTTGGGAAAGTTTCATCTTTGGCGAAGTTCCTTTGAATTGCGCGTTTAGTAAGTTTGGGCCCATTCGCCCAGTCTTCGCGGCAACTCTTCTGCATTCGCCTGCTTTCGCCTTTCGCCTGCTTTCATGCTGTATTGAATATGGCTTTAGCCTGTTCGTTTTCTCTTCCTTTTCGGATAATAAACGACGCAAAGTTTCAAATAGCGGAACATGTTTAAAATGCCTGACGTGCACACAATCATTCACTCGGTCCTGCACAGCCCTTCAGTCCCAGTCCGTCAGTCCTTTGGTGCTCAACCTGCACTTCACTGCTCCTTTGCCACCTTTTCCCAGTCATCATGCCTCACGCCTGGCCACACACGGTGCAACAACGCCACTGCAAACAGAGCCACCAAACGGGGGGCTGGGGGCAGCAGCAACGTTCTCCATCCATGGGTTGCATGGGTTGTGTGCAAAGAGCCCGAGAAATGGTTGCCAAAAATAAAAATTAAAAAACACCCAAAACAGAAAGCATCAAGCAAGAATGAAAACGAAAAAATAAAAAAAAAATAAAAATGTAAGGCACAAACACGGAAAACAAAAAATAAAACAAAGCGAAAACCCACACAAATTGTGCACGCAACTGGCCAAGGTCAGGCGGGGCAGTCCGTCCGTGGCCAGGTGCCTGCTGCTCCCTGCTGCCTGCTGCCTGGTGTCCCGTCCCGTCACGGCTCTGGCTCTGTCTGACTCTGGCACTCTGCTTCTGGGTCCGACTTGGTGCCCAGGCCAAGGATTTGCATAACTCGACTCCGCTGCTCTGGCCGTGAGGCCCTGATGCCATCAGAGCCTTTTCCCTTCTTCCCTTTTGCCTTTTTCCCATTTCCCATTGCCCATTCCCGATCCGCGTCTGACGATTGATTGCACCGTATCCGACACCGAATCAGAGTCGAGGAATCCGTTTCAGCTGCGCGGAACGTGTGAAATGCAAGTCCCCAAAGGGCTGAGTGGGGAGTGGTACAGTGGTACATAGCCCCACTTTCGATTCATTCATTCATTCATTCATACTCGCATTTACAACTTCTGCCATTCGAATGCCGTTTGTGACGTCAGCGCGAATTGAGTTTCGCTCTCACCTTGCGCCTGTTTGAGTTTCCTGCCAGTACGATTAATCGGATTCCTACCACTCACACACACACACACACACACACACACACACACATGTATCCACGTATCCACACATCCGTTGCTGGAATCTAACAAAATGCAACTGTACTCGCTGGAATGTGCTGGGTGGCATGGATGGGTGCCTTGCAGCAGACCTTTAGGCATACAAACTCGTACTGCCATTTAGGAATAAAGTTGTTGTTGTATGATCTGCCTATTTGAATGCACATAAATATTAGGGGTATCTTGAATTTGAAGCACTCAATAGTGTGTTGTGTGCTCCTCTATGCGCCTCTCTATGCGCTTCTCATCCAATTCAGCTAAGTGGATTTCTGCTGCTCCTCCTGCTACCAGCTAACAGCTACTATCATCATCCTCGTCAGCTGCTGACTGGGTTTGTTGATTAACTTGAAGATGCCACAGTTGTATATACGAGCATGCATCATAGGAATGGGCATAGGCATATGCCAGCTTGCATAAGCAGGCGGCAGTCGATGAGGGGTGACTGAGTGACTGAGTGAGTGTTCATCAGTTCAAGGCTCTCTCTCTCTCTCTCTCTCTCCACTTCCTTTGTGTCCCTCCAATGTGTGTTTTGTGTTGTGTGTGTGTGTGTGCCGTAAATTCCTTTCTCCATTAATTCATACAATTCAGCAGATGATGGCTATGACGATGATGCTGCTAAAAATAGTCATTCTGAGTTGGTGAGAAGGCATGAGGCATGCTTTCTGTTGCTGCCTTGACCGGCATCCACACACACACACACACAGCCAGAGAAGACAGAAAAAGACACACAAGACAGACACACAGAGAGAGTGCACCCTAGGACCCAGATCTGAGAGCAAGATTTACGCTTTGATTTTGGGCTTTGCCATTGCATTGAACTTCAGTCGCTCCGATTGCCACTCCGTTGCCGTGGCAGCTTTCTGCTTTCTGTTTTCCGTTTTGTGCTTTCGGCTTATGCAACATCCACAGCGGCACCTGCCACACCGAATGCGGAAGTCGACACACACACACCACACACACACAGATGCACAGACCATGTACCTATGTATGTATGCCTGTATGTTATGTACTGCAGTGTGTTGTAAATAGGTCGCTGCACCAGCGACTCATCGCATCGCATCGCATCGACTGGCGGCGGCATCTAGAAAGGAGGCGACAATGACGTCACAGCCGCATCAGGCAGGGCAGGGCAGGCATCAGCTATAGCCAAAGTGCCGCTGACCTATATAAAGAGAAAACGTGGGTGGCAAAGAGAGAGAGATGAAGATAGCGATACAGTAGCAGGCAAGGACGAGAAGGGTAGGGAAGGAAAGTGAAGGAGCAACAGCAAAAGAGAGTAAAAAAATGATCAATAAAGTGCTGACTGACACTTACATACATACTAACGTACATAGATACACAACATGGTTTTGCATATGGCCATACACCCACAAACACACACACACACACACGTACTATAAGCACAGTAATATACACCTTGGCCAAATTGTTTGTTGACATTCGCAAAGAACGAACTCTGACCGACTTTACCTGATGCCGGCCTTTTCCACTTTCTCTCTATCTCTCTCTTTCACTGTCTAGTTTTCTCTCTCTCTCTCTCTCTCTATCTCTCTTTGTCGCTGTTTCCCTCTCTTTCTCTCTTTCTCTCTCTCTCTCTGTCTGTGGCCAGCCCCAGCCCAATGCATCGCAATGTTTCGTTTAATTGCCATTGGAGCATGTGGGAACCCGCCCCTCAATATGTACATAAATCATGAATGCCTCAGCTATATATCGTTCAAAGGATTATGCTGACACCTGCGAGTATGTACACCTACACATACCTCAGTATTTACGACGGACATAGCAAAGGGAAATCCACTTTCGATTTCGATGGATATCCTTATGGTCAGCATTTATGCATCTGTGTATGAATATATTAGTAGACCCATTCCGACCATTTTTATGTATTCGCTGCACTTAACAACTCTTTTTGCCGAACATTTGCCAAAACAGTTTCGACTGTGCATGTCTCCCATCGCAAAGAAGCAAGAAAATAGAGAAAGAGAGGAAGCAAATTATATTTTGACAAACAATTTGTACGAGAATGAATTTTATCAATTGCTTCCTCTAGCCATAACCCATACCCCATACCCCATTCCCATCTCTCTTCTGTGCCTCCTCCTGTCCATATGGCTTAACCCATGGCTGGCCAAAGAGTGGGTGAAGCGGCTGCCTGTCGTGCACTTACACGCTTAATTAAATGCCACGGCACGGCGCCAAATACTCGTAGTACAGGCAACACAGGCAATCCGTGCTATACTCGTGCCTGTGCCTGTGCCTGTGCCACTGCCTGTGCCTGGGTCTGGCTAAGGGTCCGCTTCTGGGCCTCGGAAAATTGCCAGCAGCAACCGCAGCAACAATTGCACATTGTCAGCAACATCAGCGATAAAGCACAAGTAGAGATAGTGGGTGCTGGGTGCATGGTGCTGGTTGTCGAGTGGCAGGGTGCAGGGTGCAGGCAGACAGGAGAGGAGAGGAGGAACACGAAACACGAGTGTATGGGCATACTGCCAGCTGTGGGCGGAACTGCTCGTTTTTATATGGGATTGTAATACAATTCCAATTACATGTGTAAACATAAGTATATTGCCAGGGCCCATCACTATCTCTGGGCCTGGATATGGACACGGATATGGACACAGACATGGACACGGACATGGACTTCGTTGGCTAGGTTCGGGTTGGGATCGTGGTGCTTTGAGTGCGGAGTGCAGTGAATTTAATTTGAGAATATGAAGCTTAACCACCTCTTGGCCCGACCCGACCTGACCCGTGCTGTGGCTGTGGCTGTGACTGTGGCTGTGGCTGGGCTCTTGGCCAAATATCGTTAGTGGGGCATACGGCAATTGCAATTGCAATTGAAATCGAGAAGGAGAAAACCAAAACGAAAACGAAAACAAAAACGACAAAGCAAATTCCCCGAACCGCCTCGCAGGCCATCCATTATTTAGCGCCATTGAATATTCAATCGGAGCGAAAGGCATCTGGAAATTGATTCGAGTCCGAAAGTAATTAAAGACCAGGCCACTGGAGAGCTTTAAGATCGAATCGGTTGAATAATGGAGCTGCGATTTACAGTTAAAATGAATGCGGAATGTCCCCCCACTCCCCATTACCCATTACCCACCTTTTACCCCCTTTCAATATTTATAATCGTGCATCGTCTTTTTTTTATATATTTTTTTCAGGTCTTTGCCCAAATTGAGCAGTCAAGACGAAGAAGGGGGGGCTGGTCATGGCTTTGGTGGCGGACCGCAACACTTTGAACCCATTCCTCACGATCATGATTTCTGCGAGAGAGTCGTTATAAATGTGAGTACGGGAATACGATGCCCCAAAGGGGAATACATACATACATAAATATGTACATATGTACTGCATCTCAAAGCTCATTCGAAAATCGATTAACCCTTTTTCCTGTTCCTCTTTCATTCATCCACCCACCCCAACACACTCGCCACAATATTTATAGGTAAGCGGGCTGAGGTTTGAGACACAACTACGTACGCTTAACCAATTCCCGGACACGCTGCTCGGGGATCCGGCTCGGAGATTACGGTACTTTGACCCGCTTAGAAATGAATATTTTTTTGACCGTAGTCGACCGAGCTTCGATGCGATTTTATACTATTATCAGAGTGGTAAGCATTCGATCCATTTTCCTGCCTCTCCCTGTCTATGCCTCCTATGAAACATTCTGCTAATCTCTCTCTATCTATCTATCTATCTATCTATCTATCAATCTGTTTCTTTCTCTTTCCCCATCTTTATATTTATCTAACTCTTGGGCTGTCTGTCTCTCTTACCGTACCCAAATCCGAACACAAACCCGAACCTTACACAATCCCTGCCCCACACTCACTCATCATTTCTGACATTATACTGGTACTACCATCCACAGGTGGCCGACTACGGAGACCGGTCAATGTCCCTTTAGACGTATTTAGTGAAGAAATAAAATTTTATGAATTAGGTGATCAAGCAATTAATAAATTCAGGTAAGCCAAAGTCCTAAACCACAATCCACAAACCCGAAACACAAACTCCAAACCCAAAACTCCAACCCTAAAAAAATACTAAACAACAAAAAACTAAAACAAAATCTAAGATCGGCATAAAAAAGAAGGATTCAGAAAAGGGCAATATTGTTTTGGGCAATTCTTCATTGGTAGCATGCCAAATAAATTGTATTAGTGTAATTGTATTCGAGGCAAGAACAGAAAATAACAGAGTACGGCAACACCAGCACCACCGCCAAAGGCACCCACCCACAGCTGAAAGGCTTGACTGAAAGACTCCCAGATTACAAATTAATCATGGACTAAGCAGACATGAAGAGATAATTTAACAGAACCTAATCCTAATCTACTTTATAAGATTTCAAACAAAATAAAGACAAAGTAGCAATAGATTTATCATAAGCACCAGAAAAAAAAAACCAAAAAAACTAAAAGCCAAAGCGAAAGGCAAGTTGAATATTAATCACTGGACCACCAGCCACTAGCCAGTAGGAACAACTTCAATTGTAGCCACTAACTAACTCCACTTTCAACTCAATTTTACTCAATTAAATGGCAATGCCTCAAAGCTTAGCTGAGCAGAGATAAAAAGTTGTGGCAAAGCCTTGTGCAATGTCAGTCCAGAGTCCAGTCAGCAGCGTGTGCCTTTTAAGCTTGTTTTCTGTTGGCCCATCGAAAGGCCTGCTGCTTCCTGCTGCCAGTGCTGCTGATGCTGTTGTTGAAGTGCCGAAAGAATACCAAAAATTAAAAACAATACTAAAACCCAAACACAGACACACACACACACAAACATTAATAGGGGGGGTATAACACACAGATGTCTTCTTTCTTTTTTTGCAGAGAGGATGAAGGCTTTATTAAAGAGGAAGAAAGACCATTACCGGATAATGAGAAACAAAGAAAAGTCTGGCTGCTCTTCGAGTATCCAGAGAGTTCACAAGCCGCCAGAGTTGTAGCCATAATTAGTGTATTTGTTATATTGCTATCAATTGTTATATTTTGTCTAGAAACATTACCCGAATTTAAGCATTACAAGGTGCGTACTGACTCCACTCTGATCCCAATATTTGAATCAACTGATCCACCTCTGTGCACACTCCCTTTCTATTCTATCTATCGCGCTCTGTGCGTATCTTTCTCTCCCATCTCTCCTCTCTCTCTCTCTCTAGGTGTTCAATACAACAACAAATGGCACAAAGATCGAGGAAGACGAGGTGCCTGACATCACAGATCCTTTCTTCCTTATAGAAACGTTATGTATTATTTGGTTTACATTTGAACTAACTGTCAGGTAGGCGCAACCACTTCCCCTTTCACTTTCACCTCCACAACTCCACTCCACTCCATACTCCATACTCGTACTCGTATGCATATGTACCTACCATAGCATAGCCATAAGCTAAGCGAACGAAAGAGATATATAAGTACAGCTAGTAGCACTAGAATACCGATATCTCTCTCTCTCTCTCTCTCTCTATCTCTCTCGATCTCTATATATATCTCGAGCTCTATCTCCATTGCCATCTCCATCTCTATCCATACATACATATATTTATCAACGAATATCTAGATTGATCTCGTTTATGTACATATATATATTGATTGAATTTTATTTTCCTTTCTTCTCTTACATTTGTTTGGTTTTCTCTGTATACGTACACTTACGAGTATTCCTTCATTTATGATTTATGATTCATACATTTATGATTTTTATCTCTCCAACGATCTATCTCTTTATTACGTCTCTAACGTCTCTTATTCTCTCTCTCTCTCTCCCTTTGTTTCTCTCTCTCTTTTTCTTTTGTTTCTACTCCCTCGCTCTCGCTGTCGCTGTCGCTCTCTGTGTGTGAATCTTTAAACCAAACCAATCGCTGGTCGTTGTATCGATTATTGTGTGTGTTCAGGTTCCTCGCATGTCCGAACAAATTAAATTTCTGCAGGGATGTCATGAATGTTATCGACATAATCGCCATCATTCCGTACTTTATAACACTAGCGACTGTCGTTGCCGAAGAGGAGGATACGTTAAATCTTCCAAAAGCGCCAGTCAGTCCACAGGTATGAGATTCTGTTTGCCCAATACTCTTATCTTCACGCACACCCACAAACACACAGATACACACATGCATATATCACACACACAAACACAGACAACACCGAGAAATACTCGAGGTTATGCTCATTGTTGTGTATCCGTATCCCCATCATTTATGAATTGCCTGACATGCTTCAGTATGGGTTTGACCCTTGGCACTAATTAATAACTTCCCCGAAACAATTTTTGGTTTATTTATTTAAAGCAACAAAAGGTCTAAATAAATTCACTTTTACTTTTTTGCTAACAAGTAAAAAACAAACATTTTGGGAACATGCTGAGAACATTTTATTTTACACACACACAGACAGCACACAAAAAAGACAGAGGTTTCACAAAAGCCACAATTTTATCGTAATAACATTCTCCTCACACGTTATGCTCATTGTTGTGTTCGACTCCGTATCTCGAGTTGATCTTCAGCCACCTAAACAATAATCTGCTCCGGTCTCTGCCTTAACAATTGTAATCGCTTATACAAGACCACACCCATAAGGGGCTATTTCTTGCATTTAAAAGTTAACAGATGAATAATAGTATCTGAAGTATGGACCATGTTTTTTCGCCTCTTTTTCTTACATATGAAGTCGATCGATTATTAAATTTTATTTCGACACTTGGCACCCTCTTCGCAAAATATCCTGAGCCAAATTTTTTTTTTTTATAAATTGAACACACTAGGATTTTGTGAACCCTGCAGTCTTTGACAACCAACAACCGCCTGCACAGCAACAGCTGACTTTAACAGCTGTTAATATGTATGTCACCAACTTTGTTGCAACATAAAGATTATATATATATGTGAGATCTCCATATATTTTAACTTTTTAAGGGGGCAAAAGTCGTCAAATTTCCAAGTGCATTGATCACGTCTACTATGTGCAACTCATTATCTAGTGTATATGATTAGTCCATCCATCCAGCCATCGTATAATTCAGACATATTTAAGTTATTATAGGTCATTTCCACCTACAAAGGGTTTATAAATATTCAGGTACTGGAACTCTGAAAGCCTCAAAGGGTTTACAATATTGGACGAACTCTAAAGCGGGAATTAGGTTTACTTATATTTTTCTTATTTATAGGTAAGTTCCAAACAGTAAAAACGAAAAAAAACCTAAAAAACCAAAAAAAAAAAAAAAAAAAAACCAAAAAAATAACAAAACAAAAATCAAAATTTTGTTATCGATTTACAAGAATTATTCAAACTGCAAAAAAAAATAAATACTGCAAAACGACTGCGACCATCCAACATAGCACAGACAGACTCCAGCCCCCCCGCCACCACTTTCTCTTTATACAAAATCTTCCCTCCCCACCACCCACTACTCTCTCTCTCACTGTCTCTGTCTCTTTCTTTGTCTATCAATCTCACTGTCTCACTGTCTCTCTGTCTTACTGTCCCCATACACACACACACACACACACACACACATACTCGTAAATCTGAGAATCGATAATTAAAACAACCACAAAAGATACATATACATTATACATATATACAATATGTATATATCTCTCCAAGATCCAAGAGAAATATATCTGCGACCGACGCGAGCGTAAGCCAGCACATTTATGTTAACTGCTCATCACGATCCCCAAATACCACACAACACCAAAATACCCCCACCCACAACACTAAAACACTAAAACAACACAATAAAATCGGCCAAAGAAATACATACGTAGGAAAACAGCAATAACTCAGACAGCAAACAACAGCAAAAACAAACAAAAAACACACAAAAAGAAAATATATTCAATATAATATACTGTGTTGCTTTTTAAGAACTTATCATTTCCGATACTTGATTTGCCACCCAAAACCACACAAAACTAAACTCTCGATTAGAAGATACGATTAGTAGAACCAGAACCTAAGACTAAGTTATCTTTTCCTCTGAGCAGCGGCCAAGCAATTAGATATGTAGATACTACATAGTACTACAGTCAGGCACACTTTCAATCCTTACCACTTACCCCAAGCCACCCCTTCGTCCCCAACTCCTACTCAGACCCCCCACAGAACCAAACCAAACTAGACCCCAGACCCAGAACCCAGAACCTTCCCCAACAACCGACACACACACATAAAAGATTCTCAACGATAGAGATTAGACATATAAACATCAAGCTAAACTAAAGTAATACTAAAGTAAAGTAAACTAGACTAACTATATATATATAGTCTCACACACACCACTCACAGATACACATAAATACATAGAGTCACGAGCTACAACAAACTAGAGGAAGCGAAGAGCAGCCTAGAGGCCCGTAGAGCCCAGCCCGTGTACAACTCACCCATTAAGTATCTCTAACTTATTTACTGTCGTCTTAAAACTAGAACTAAGTACAATCATAGGTCAACTACAAGTGATACTTAGCCATCTCTTATTTATCCCAGCCAGACCAGCGCTCAATGCTCTTCCCCTTGCACACACACACGCGCACTGGAAGATACCCCGGTACATAAAGTCCTTACATACATATGTACTAGTATGGGCCATATTGCAACTGCGCATATTGCAGCACCATCCATGTGCGTGTGTGTCTGCATCGTATAAGTATTGTTCACTTTGGATATGTTCGTTGAGTTTCCGACATTTTTTTTGTTTGCGTTCTTGCGTATTTGAATTTTAGTTATATTTTGTGGCTCTAGCGATAACCAGCAGCAATGTCAATGTACTCGAATTTTAGTCTATTACTCCTGATATACTTTGACAAAGTGCGTAAGGCAATTCTTGTGTGCAATCAAATCGAAATGGATATCGAGCGGAACGTATACTTATACAAATCTGTTCGATCAAATCCGTTCGCTGTGCCCACAATGCCGCGCTCAAGTCGTTGGCAATTTTAAGGATCCCACGTAATTTGCATGCAGATTGAATTTTATCCGCCTCCCGTCTGTACTGTACCGTCTGTAGCTATGTATAGCTTTCTTTCTAAGCCTAATCCTAAGCCTCTCCTTTCCTTTCCATTCCTTGCAATTTCCCATTTCCGTTCTTCTCGTACTGCAACTTTCCTTTGCTTCGGTTGTCTGTTAAACTGCGTTGAAAATACCTTAAAATTGGCATACTTCTTGGCGTTCAAGCTGTCCAACCAAACGAAGCGTAGAGTGTTCATCCAGATCGTTGATCGTTCCTGGATGGATCAGCAAACAGAAACGAAGAGAAGATGATAAGAAAACCATCTCTATCGAATAAATTATATATATTTTGTATTGTTGTTCATGTTCTCTATCCACCAATAAAAGTTGTTCGTAAATTGTAAATCGTAAACCGTAATCCGTAAACCGTAAACCGTAATCCGTAAACCGTACTCATCATCAACGTTGTCGTTTCGATGTCCATGTCCACAGACTGTGCAGTGGTTGACTTCTTTTGCTTTTAGTTGATAGTTTTTAGCTTCTAGTTGATAGTTCCTAATTTCTAGTTGGTAATTTCCATAGTTTATAGTTTGTTGTTGTATCTGTTGAGCGATTAACGTATTAACCAACCATGACTAAGTATCAGACGAGTATGTCTAATCTCTAGTGTACCATAACAAAACCGACATATGCATAAACATATCGATACCTACCAATAAACATATCGTTATCTATACGAACTATATACATATATATATGTATGTATATATATATATATCAATTACAATTCAAATTCAATTTCAATTGAGTTCTTTGTTTTTTTTGTTTCTGTTTTTCGTTGTCTGTGATCTGACATCTATTTCGTTCTGTTATTTTTCCGTTATATCGCCAAAGTTCCATCTCTAATACAGCTACCCGAACGCTGTTAATAATCGATTAACGGGCCACACTGTCAATGTCAATTCTGTGATAGACCGTAACTGATTATATACAATATATATGTATACCATACACCTAAATTATATAATGCTATTTCCTATTAACGTAGGCATTACGTTACTACATATTTAATGGTTGCTTTCAGTTATTTATGTACCTTCAGTTCTCGTATCATTTGTCTTGCCGTAGTTTAGTCTAAACATACTTATACTTATATATGTATGCATATAATCGTATATCGATCTATAGCTATATATATGTATATGATCAATTACTACCGATATATGTACATGTGTATGTAACTTATGAATATTGTATTGTACAGAGTAAACGTACTTAGCTAGCTCCATGTATCCATTTATCTCTAATCAAAACAAGCCAACCAACTCTCAAATCTAATATATGTATGTATGTATGTATAATAATAATAATAATAATAAATAATACATACATTTACACATACAAAGATAATCTTCTGTAAAGTTAGCTGCCACCGATCAAGTAGCATTACTAACAAAACTCACACACACACACACACACACACTCTGTATCTCTCTCTCTCTCTCTCTATCTCAAAGACACACACACAAACAAGATGCTTGTGGCCTTAAAAGTAGGCTACAAACTTTGTACCTACTGGCACTTCGGTCATTGCCAAAGTTTTTGTGCTTTTTCTTTCGATTTTTGTGATATTTTGCAAACTTTTTATGTTACCTTAACACATAAGCACACACACACACACTTAACATACTAATAATACTTACAAATACATACATAAATGTCATGCCAAGAACTTTTCTAAATCGTTTTTCTACACACAAAACAAAAACAAAAACCGAAACCAAAAATCTAAAAAAATAAAATTAAATTAAATTCCAGTTGCAGTTATTTCTTCATACATTTTTGTTCCACCTTATCGAATATACCTATAGTTTTCTTTTAATGCACCAGATTTCAATTCAAAAATAACAACCAAAAAACCAAAAAAACTAAAAAAGATAAACCAAAAAAGCATTTACCAATCTATATAGCATAGTCTTATGTATATCTTGTAGTTGTTTTAAACAGAAAATAAACCAATTCCTTGAAAAAGGAGCAAACAAAGGCCACACACAAAATGCAAATAATATCTGTGACGGCAATGGCATTGGCAATAGACCAGACCAGACCCATCCTCCTGTGAGGCCCTCCCTTTCCCAACAGATTCCCAAGCAGAAACGCACAAATACTAACGATTCGATTGTACACTAACGATTGATTAATGATTAATGATTGATCTGATCTCTGTTTGACTCGCCCTGAATTGATTGATGATTGATCGCCGCAGGCGTGGTACTGTTTTCGTCGGCGGTCTATTTTGCGGAGGCTGGCAGCGACAATTCGTTTTTCAAGTCCATACCGGACGGCTTCTGGTGGGCTGTGGTGACCATGACTACGGTGGGATATGGTGATATGAGGTACAGCCTATGTTTAAACTCCACACGTTCCAATCCAATACCATAATTGTGCTGCTCCGACATGGGCACGTGCTATGTCTAAACCTGCTCCTACATCTTTCTATATCTACTATGTGCTCTCTTTTATCTGTTTGTCTGAGTGTTTGTGATGCAAGTCTGTCTGTCTCTAACCCTGCCATCAATCTATATACCCTTTTTCATTATCTTTATCTGTTTTCTCTCTCTCTCTCTCTGCTGAAGCTGTATATCTGTCTTTATGTTTTGCTTTTGTCACCAAATTGTACATGCTATAGTATATATATATGTTATGTATGGAAGGGCGTCCAAGGACCCAAAAAAACGAGCACACACTCAGATTTGAGGCGGCGTTCCACTCTGCTCTCACCCCGCGCTGTACAGTTGCTCCTCTGTAAATTGAACTGAACGATGTGATTAAGCCCAGTAAGCCCTTCTTAGATGTTGTACTGTGTGATCGCTCGCTTTTATCCCATTCCACCTCACATAGCCCACCCAAAACTCCCGCCTCCCAAAACTCTGTACATAAATCTTTAATATGCAGTCCCTCATTTTCATTTTATTTCTCAGTTCCGTTCCGTTCCGGTTCCGTTCATTCCTTTATGTTTTTTCCAATCCCATCCTTACCAAACGTTTTGGCATGGTGTCTGTCAAACTCCTCTTTCATTCAGTTTTTCTTTCTGTCTTCATGTGGACTTCTTTTCATTCGTCTTTAGTACTTTACCATGTGTGTGTCTCTACCCCTACACCCCCTCCTGAGCCAGAATTAATTTTCATGGCAATTTGGTCCATTGTCTGTCCTGTTGGCATTTGTTCTACCACACAAATACTCGTATATCACCATAGCGAGAACAATGAGGAGCTCACCAGAAGGGAACGTGCTTTTAGTTCCTTCACACCACACGGTTCACATTTGGAATTTCTGCTTGGGAATTCCGCCGGATTGCAGATTGGGGGATTGCAGTAAATCGCAAGTCCTCAATGGAGTGGTCACTGGTCCAAACACGTACTCGTGAATGAAACAACTCTATTTGTTAGCTCAAGACAAAACTGAAAAACAGCAAAACTAAAACAGAGCCAGGGCTACCCACTTGTCTTGCGGCCGCAGCCGAAGAAGCCGCAGCCCTGGCCGCAGACAACAAGAAACAGAAAGAATGTAACACAAATGAGTCGCACACCAAAAAAAAAAAAAAACCAAAAAACACACGGAACACGGACGAGCTTCTGACGGACCCCTAAGTGACCCCTGACTTACCCACAACGGACACACCCGAAACTCTCTCGAAAAAAAAATAATATCAATAAAACTCTTTGGTTAAATGTTTATTTTAAATAAAAAAGAAAAAATTATTTAAAAAAAATTAAAAAAAAAAAATTATAGCAAACAAATATAAGAATATAATACCAATGCAAAGCAATGTTTCTCCCATCAATTTTTTTAGGCGTCGTACTCTTCTCATCGGCGGTTTATTTTGCGGAAGCTGGAAGCGAGAATTCCTTCTTCAAGTCCATACCCGATGCATTTTGGTGGGCGGTCGTCACCATGACCACCGTTGGATATGGTGACATGACGTATGCAAATCTATACAATTCTAACTCTTATGATTACCTCTACGATAAATCCAGTTATGATTATGATTATGATTTTGATATCGCTTTATTTTCCCGTTCTCGTTTATGTTTCGTGTTTTTCCCGTTACTGTTCCTGTTCCTGTCCCTGCTCCTGTTCCCGTTCCTGCCAGGGGCGTGCCGCCGCTCTAGCGGTATTCTGCCTCCCACTGCCACTGTTTCTGCCACTTTATTCTGTTCTAATTTTCGATTACCACTATTTCGTTATTTATGACTAACCCCGATCCATCCCCCCCAAGCCCAAGCCTAAGCCTAAATCCTACCTACCCACCACTAACTAACGCCACTTTTATATACGAAAAATACCGAATACGTATGCAGATTAACTGTATATTGCTAAACCCGACCCCATATGGTTTTGTAATTCCAATCCCGATTAAAATACGCAAAAATCCAAAACCTAACTGTTGCTATCTCTTACTTTGACTCGCTGAGCTGTTTGTTTGTATTCTGTATTCTATATTCAGTATTTGTATTTGTCTATGACAAGTTATATTTGTCTTTGTATTTGTATTTGTCTCTGTATTCTGTATTTGTATTCGTCTTTGTCTAACCAATTGCGTTCCATTCCTTATCGTTTCATATTACTTTTGACTCATTTGCGTTTCTGTTTCAGTTCCCATTTAGTTTCAGTTTCCATTTAGTTTCACATGCAGGGAGCTCTTTCTGTGTGTGTCTCTCTCTTGTTTAAATATACAGGCAGGCTCCGGTTTACGCTTTCTCAAAAAATTTTCTTGTGTGATTTACTTTTCGAAACGACAAAGTCAGTCCGTACTCGTAAAACGAAAGACTTTTCCGTGTTCAAAACGGCAAAAATTATTCGCCGAATTTAAAAGTAAGCGGCTTTTTATACAGCTAAAAAAATCTTTATTGCAAAAGGAAAAAAATAGATGACTTAATGATGCATTGACATGAATTTGACACCATTACCTGGGTATGAGCTTATGCCCTTTTTATAAATAATTTTTATTTAAGCCATCCTCGAAACTGGATCTGAAAAAATTGGTCAGGGCAAAAACAAAAAGTGAATTCAATTTAACAGCTGGGGCAGCCCGATTTTGCTATCGATAAGTCTCTGTTAAACATAACAGAGGCCTTTTTTTATGAGCTGGTACTAACGCTTAACAGTACAAAGAGTAAACAAATTCACAAAAGTGGATCCCAGAGCGCCTTGAAATTAAAAGTATGACTGTGAAAACCGTAGCCTGCCTGATGCTCTTAATTTCGATCCTGTTCGGAACGGTTGCCATTCCATTAAACTGTTCTGTTTCTAGTTTGCCTTTATTTGAACTTTTTTTATTGCCATTATTTTATTATCGCAATTATCAGTGTAACCGTTGTGTCGTTGTTTAGTTCACCTATGAAAAAACAAAAAGAAAATATCGATAAATGTATGAAAATACTAGAGAACATACTGAAAAATATCAAAAATATATCAAATGAAATCCCATCAGCTAAATTCCACACTCACCGAGCATTGTACAGTGAAGAGTACAGTGCACTCCCATCCATCCATGAATTCTTATAATCATCGAAACTATACACTGGCGTTCCCCGATTGGGGCCACACACACACCAACACACACCATACCGCACACACAGAGACACTCGCCACATGGCTATTGAGGATAACGGTAATTTCATTTACAGCTGAAAAAACAGTTAATCGAGTTTTTTTCACACCAACACCAACACCAAACACACAAAAAACACCAACAAATACAACTACACCGACACATAAAAAGTTTCTACAGAAAAGGAACAGAATAGTAGGAGGGAAAGACGAGCATGCTGCATGGGCCCACTATGTGCCACACACCGTAAAACACACTTACAGACACCCTCTCACGCCCATTCACACACATACACACCCACACAAACACTCAGCCACACACAGATACAAACGTTTTTAAGCTTTAGCTGCTGCCCAAAAAAAAAAAATACCCAAGCCGCCTGCCAAATCGAATTACTTAATCTGCCAATGATCCTCCCTCTCCATTGGCTCTCAAACGTCCCACATTCCTATCCTGTCAGAAAGGAAAAGTTTCTGTTAGACACGCACAAATTTAAGTTCAACCTCTCTCTCGACTGTTTCTGACTGTCCAACTTCCACTTCCACCTCCAAGCCACCAGCACCTCGTTTCTCGATCGCACTTGTGCAATAATTATGTATGTCTCTATAAGCACACACACACACAAACACATTTCTAACACTACCAAAGCCACAGCTAAAACAAGAACAGCTCAACTGCCTTAACTTCAAACAGCAAAAACACCATGCGAGCCACCAATATCCAATCCAATACGCTACTCCACTCCAAGTTCCAAGTTCTAAGTGTTGTGACATCTTTCGAGTACTCTTTTGGTTTGATCGTTCTCTAGACTAATTAACTAAATGCCTATTTACTCATATACCCTGTATATACATCCCTACCCCGTACCCCGTACTACCCCCCGCCTCAATCTCTATCTACATATCTATATCTACCTATATATTTGCCCAAATATGAATCTCTCTATATGTATGTATATCTCTCCCCATATACCTTACCTGCCTCCTCTATGTATACCTTATATATTTAGACAAATATTCATATCTATACCTATATCTATATAATGCGTAATGCTGTATGATTTTGCAATTGCATATAGTATATGATAAAAAAAAAAAAACAAAAAAATCAAAATAATACCAACGCAAAATGAATATTAAGAACAAACGAGAGTTTTACTTTACATTTCTTATATATTTGTATTTTCATTTTATTTATATCGTTCGTTCGTTAACATCGCTCGCTTCCATCCAAATCCAAACAAACAAAATACCAAATTTCAAAAAATCAAAAAAAAAAATACAACCAACTCCAAAATTCTCAATTCAAATCAAATCAAAATATAAATCAAAACCAAACAAATTACAAAAAAAAAAAAATTCCCCAACAACGAAAAAATATATTTTGCACAAAAATGTCACCACAAAATACCAAATATCAACGATAACAATCGATAATAACAACGAAATGCAACCCCAAAAACGACCGCTATCATGTATATGAACTGCATTGAACTTGTATCGTTTATCGTTGGACATACGATAACTGCAATCGATTGAATTCGAAATTGATATTGATATTGAAAATGAAACTGAAACTGAAACCGAAACTAAAACCAAAACTGAAAACTAAAAATTGAAATTTATAAATGATATGGAAAATGAAAATTGATTTTGAAACTGAAATTCATGAAATACAGACCCGTCGGCGTTTGGGGCAAGATTGTGGGATCACTGTGTGCCATTGCTGGTGTGCTGACAATCGCACTGCCGGTGCCGGTTATCGTCAGTAATTTCAATTACTTCTATCACCGCGAAACGGACCAGGAGGAGATGCAGAGCCAGAACTTTAATCATGTCACTAGTTGTCCATATTTGCCAGGTACACTAGGTAAGTTCCACCCCTCTGTGTGTGCACTCTCTCTGTGTGTGTCTCTCTGTTGTACTCGTACTCGTAGCCTCGTGAGCCTCGAGCTCATGCTCGTGCTCGTACTCGTTAATCGTTTACGCATATACCACATATCCGAATGGATAACCCCCGCCCGACCGCCCCCCAACCAAACCAACCAACCAACAACCAACCAACCAACAACCAACCAACCAACCAACCAACCAATCAACCAACCACAACCTCACATACTACTCAAGTAGAGCAACCAACCACCCACAAAAAGAATGTGTAGAAAGAAACAAGAATTAGAAGCCCCCTGCCGAATAAAAATAGAAACATTTACGAAGAAAGAAACGAATTGTGGGTGGCAGCCCCGCCCTGCCCCTGCCCAGCCACTGAGGCGCCAGCGATGGCCGGACAGGTGGCCGGCGGTCGGCTGCCAGCTGCGTTTACGGCTCTCCCCCAAGTGCTTGAACGCAGGCGGCAACCCTGTCCATGGCAGAGGCAGCGGCTGTGGCAACCCTACAACCAACGTACTCTGCACGTACTGTGTGTTTTGTGTGTAAGGCAAGAACTACAACAAAAAACATTATTGTAATTGATGCATTACAACTGTATGTGTGATCTCCTCTTTCTCTCTTCTCTCTCTCTTCTTTTTGTTTCTCTCTTTATTCCGTCCAACAATTGTATGGAAAATTTGAATATCGAAACGTGATCTCCAAACAAATCCAAATCCAAACCGTACCAAACCATACCATACCCATACCCATACCCATGCCCATGCCCATACCGATCCGATCCGAACTGCTCCGCTCCCAAATTCCGTGATATCTCTCCCACCATCCCGCCATTCCCCCAACCCACTCACCACACGCCTGCAATTGAACTCACGACACCACCCCCCCTTTTCCCACAAACAACACCACACACACATACACACACAAACACACGAAAACACGAACACAACCTTGTATGCCACCGCGTGCCGAAAACTGCGTGACAACCACACTAAACAATTGACTACAAACTACCAAGTAGGTCAACATATGAAGAAATCATCGTTGTCCGAGTCCTCATCGGATATGATGGATTTGGATGATGGTGTCGAGTCGACGCCGGGATTAACTGACACACATCCAGGACGTAGTGCGGCAGCGGCTCAGTTTTTGGGAGCTCAGCAGCAGCAACAGCAGCAGCAACAACAGCAGCAGCAGCAGCAACAGCAGCAGCCAGCATCGTCGACTTCAATGTCGATGTCGCTCGATAAGCAGCTCCAGCATCCCCTGCAGCAGCATCCACTGCAGCACCCACTACAGCAGCAGCCGTACCAGCCGCAGGCGCAGGCGCAGCCGCAGCATAGCGGCTTCAAGCAGCAGTCCACAATAAGCACGAGCGCGGCGGCAACAACGAGTAGCGCCAGTACCAGCGCCGGTGCCAGTGCCAGCGGCAGCGGCGCCACCACCCTCACCATGAGGCACAATAATGCCCTGGCCGTTAGTATCGAGACCGACGTTTGACTACTGGGTAAGTGTTGGTTAACTCGCTTTCGCACAATCCTCTCTCACTCTCTGTCTGTAACTCTCGCTCGCTCGCTGCCCCCTCCCTCTCTCTCACACTCAGCCCAGCTGCATTTCCCTCTTCCTACCCCCAGCCACAGCCCCAGCCCTAGCTCCATCTCTATCTCCCACTCTCCCGACCTTCCTCTCTCACTCTCTCTACCCAACTAAATCACCTTCACTTCACCTTCCTTGTGCACCTCTAAACAGTAGAGCCTAACTAAGATAAAGTGCTGCAAAACGCCAAAAACAAATTCCAAAAAGGATTGTGCGCACTGCCACAGATGCCAGGGACTACACTCCAGAGTAGAGACTAGAGATTTCCTACCCAACTACAGTGGCAGTGCGAACAACCAATCAACTGAATTGAACTGAATTGAATTCCGATTTGATTAGAACATAACTTTTTCTCTCTTTTCTCTCCACGTGGCGCGCCCTCCCACCTACGCGATACATACTCGTATGTCTTTACCTATTTAAACCTATAAATACATTTGACTATATATATATATGTATGTATGTCTCGTTATGTGTGTATTTTTTACGTATGGGGAACCCAAAATTGTATATTGTATGTCTCATATATATCTATCTGTTCTGATCTGATCTGATCAGTGCGAAGAATGTTAAGTGGTATAGAATTGGCCTTGACAAGAGTTACGTTGGATGCCAGAAACGACTACAAAGAAAGCTGTTTGTATTTAATTTAAGTAGAACAAATAACAAAACAAATTTAATCTATGGCTAAATTAATCTAAATCCTAATTTATATTTAAACTACATTTAATTAAATTATAAACTTAAACTTAAACGTGAACAACACACAAGCAAAAGCATACTCCCAAACCCAAAACAAACCCAAAACAAGTGAAAATAATCTCGATCAAGGAGAGTGAAATAGCCCCCCCCCCCCCTATGTGTACATAATATGGCATATGAATGTTTGTATGTACATATAACCCCAGGCAATATCTAACTAAAACTATAAACCCCATAAAGATAAAATCCAAAATGAAAGCATTAACATCGAATGAAGAGCTGGCTGCAGTAGATGGGAAGGCCCACATAAACTAAATCAAAGATTTTAGATCTATTTCATTGAATAACAGAACTAGCCCTGCATAATCCGACCTCAGAACTGTAAATAAGTCAATAAACCATAACAAACAAAATATTAACAAACCAAAATGAAACTAAAAAGCTGATCAAAGAAGAGCACAGAACAGATCGAACAGAAGCGTAGCACGGAACAAGCAGTACTCGTCCGTATAGAATAGGGATGCAGTTCACATAGAAAGAAAGCAGTCCAGCTAGAATGCAAGCAGTCTGTCCAAACCGGAAGTCACAGGCATACAAACACAGACAGACACAGACACAGACAAACACACTTCAACTAACACTGAACTAAAAGTATAGAAAAACTGCCGTAATATTTAACAAACCCAATGTGTATAGTGATTAATCAAAATCAAAACAAAAACAAAAAGAGAGAAGCATACCAAATGCAAACGAGATTCAATGCAATATCTGCTTTTAAATGTGACAGGAAGCCTAATATATATAGCCTAATATAGACAACTAACCAACTAACTGAAGTAACTAAGCGATAAGCCTAACCACAGCATATACGTGCATTTATTTATATATGTGTATCTGTATGTGTACCACTAAGGCAACAACACCACTAAAGACCCTCGGTCCTAGTCAGGATCATCAATCCATCGATTCAGTTGCGAGGATTTTGTTTTTTGACTAAAGCTTCAGGAAAATCTTTAGCCCTCCAATGGCCACACCCACCCCAATCGCCCACAAACCAAACTAACCAAAACTGAACACTAACCTACTGTACTGTACCCATATCAGCTGACAAACAGAACCTGCGATTCTTCTGCTTCGATCCCCCCGAATTAAATCGAAATAAAAAGTACAAATATTCAACTAAACAAAACAAAAAATGAAGCTATCATAAATAATACAATATGATTGATGCACAGCAAGAGCAAGAGCAATTTTTGTTGTTGTTGTTTAGTGGACGGAAAAACGACTGCAATTAAATTACAAGCAAAAGAACATAAATCCACATCAAATGGATATCCAGGTCATAGATCAGCTCAACCACAATAACAAACAAAAAATAATGAGAGTAATGGAAAAAAAACAAAAACAGAAAACGCTCTTATGATTTTATAATAAAGACATATTATATATTTAGAGGCCCATGTGACCGAGACCACATTCAGATAGAAGGAGATATAAATTTAAAAACAGAACAAAAAAGGCAAAAGGCTCCCAAAAAGATGCAGGGGACAAACTCTATCAACTTCTTCAAACTGGATTGCATAGGCTGAAAGGACCTCCCCACACCACTCACACACAGCAGACACACACCTACACCCACACACATACATACACAAACATGCCCATAGACAGAAAAACGAGTATAAAAGAAAAGTTGACTGAAACTATGCAAACTCAAATTTTGCATTATATGTATAAATAATAAAAAAAAAAAAACAAAATAAAATAATTTATATAAATAAATATATATATATGAGTGTGTGTTAATAGATACATATACATATACATATATATATACAACCTGTATATAAAAAGGGAACCAGCCGTTGTATATTGAAGATAAAAAAGAAGAAAACCCAAAAAAAAAAAGTTGTAACTTTTAAAAGCTTCGAAAACCGTCCACGCACACATACAACAATTACATACACATGAAGATCAGAATGGGGGAATGGAAATAAGTGGGGAGAGGGTTAAGGGTAATTCCTTATGGAACAGCAACTCTGTAGCGAATCCCACAGCCCCTCCTCCAGTCCCACTGCCACCCCCTCCCCACCCCTATCCATCATCCCCATCTCCGATCCCACTCCCTAGTTGATTGCAATACAGATGAGAAGAAGAGCCTAACCGAACAATAATACTTTCCAAGCTCCACAGAGGGAGGGCCCCGGGGCGATCGTACTCTGTGTACATTTGAAAGGCGATTCCTCAGCTACGAGCTGAGCTTCAGCTGCAAGCCGAGCCCAAGCCCGAGTCCGAGTCCGTGTCCGAGTCCGCTCTAGCCTGTTCCAATTAATAGTAGGGTCTGCCCATTTCCGGCCTATAACTGCTGTAAATACTCTCCAAACAAAGCGGAAAAAAAGTAACAAGAACCATCAATAAATCTGCAAATGCTTTTTTGTACAAAACAAAATCTTAACAACTACTCTATAACATAAACGATAAATAAGTAATTATAAAGAAGAACAATGAACGATGAATCCGAAGGCAACACACACATGCAAATGTCATTTAGTTGTACTGTACTTAGCCATACCAGAGTCCTTGTATCTGTAAGAAATAAGAAGGCATAGTGAGGAATGGAGATAAGAGAAAAGCAAACACCAAAAGAAGAATACGATATAAAGAATAAGGAAGAGGAGGAGGGGAGTAGGAGTAGGAGGAGAATGGAAGGTGAAGAAGTTGGAAGCAACAGGGGAAAAATAGATAAAACGAAACAGATCCGCTTAACTAAGTTTAGATAATGATTTAGGACAGAGGGCAGATAAGAGGAAAGGAGAGGATGTTAGCTTAATAGATACAAGATACAAAATACCACATAGCAGATACAAAGGGCCGAGTGTAAAGTAAGGTTGTTTTTTTTTTCCTAGCCTTAATCTAGACAATTGAATAAATTTAGCGAACGTATGATAATTGTATGTAAATGAGTCTAAGGATTTCCAATGTATAGCAGAACATAGGATTCGAGTTTAGTTTTATTCTTATGATTATTCGTTCATACTCGTAATGTTCTTTTCCTACATCTTAAGACTTTGATTTAATCACAAAAACTGAGCCACTAAAATTACCTTAAACACACACAAAACAAACAAAAATGAACAAAAAAAAAAAACTTAAAAAAAGAAACAAAAAAAATTTTAAAATAAAAATTAAAGCAAAGAAAACAGAAAAACAAATTGTGTTAACATTTACCTATGAACGCTTAAAACAAAACACAACAAAACAAAATAAAGCAAACAAAAAGCAAACAAAAAAAGTAAAAATTTTGGAATAAATGTGTTCAGCAAAAGAAATGTTATTATATGTTTAAATAAATTACAATTACAATTAATTCGAGATGGACAAACATTTAATGTAATTAAATTGAGCTAAGTACACGAGTAAAATTCTAAAAAATTTCAAATTGTACATATAGAAGCATATACATAGCACATAGCCTAACACATAGATACACAGCACACGTGTGCTGCCATCGAGGCACGAGGTGTAGACCACACAACAGAAACGAAACCCTAGAACAAAGAAATTCCAGACACGTTTGTATGTATGTAAATACATACATATGTATATGATGCAGCATACTCAAGACTTAAGACGAGGAGCATAACGCGAGCATAACCCGAGCATACACAGGATCACGAAAACCGATCTGATCCAAGCCGAGCCACTCCTTTCTGATCATCATCCCTACCAAAGAACTAAAGAAACGGAGCTGAAATTAAAGAAAGAGATTAACTGAAGTTCTTGAAGTGTTTTATTTATTTCGCACACTCCGCTGTGCCGCCGTGTAAATACTTATTTAATACTAGCTAACACGAGTACTGTAAAATACATTTCTTTGTCGTTTGCCAGCGTATCCGTATCCGAGTCGCATTGCATTCCGTTTCCGTACCGTTTCATTCTGTTGATTTTTCAATTGTATTTTGGCATAGTTTTGTTGTTAACATAACCAAAATGGAATCGGGAACCGTAACTGTAGCCTTTTCAAACTACTTAGCCTGTAATCCTGTAATTCTGTACATATGCCAGAAGTACTCAACTTTAGTCCCGTCTTTGGCATATCACCCACCACAGACAGCAGCAGCAGCAGTTGAATTACTCAATCAATCAGTATATAAAACAGCTAATAAACCAATGCTAATTAGAAACCCACACAAACACAGACCCAAACACAGCCACAGACACAGCCACATACACTTATTTAGAGCTGAAAACGCATCTCATCCGATTTTCGTATTAGTTTCGTATGCTTGAACTATGCTCTACTCTCCACTCCACTCCACTCAACTCAACTCAACGCTATCGAACTTTACTCTACTCAACGCAACTCTAGTCTACTCTACTCGTAACCTAACCCAAGCGAAAAAGCGTAAAAATACTACTAAAAGATACTCGAATAAACGAAGAAATCTCCAGGAGAAGAAGCAGACATATCGTTGTAAAGCAAAAACTAAATTATAATCGTAATAACCAAGCTCAGAACCATGAGAATAACTCGAAGAATGAATCGAAGAATTAACACACGAAAAACCAAAAATGAACTCACACAACAAAACGAACAAGACACGTTCGACTTCTCCTAAATTTAAACCAGAAACAATCCTTTCAAGTTTTCCATTAATTTTAATTTCAAACTAAACGACAAACTCTTAACACTTAAACGCATACGAACCCTAAAAGTACGAAAACCAAAGAAAACAATGAAAAAACAATACCTATACCTATATACCATATGCTACATATGTATGTATATGCTATACATGTACGAGTAAATCAAAACATAGAACCAAAACAAAACAAAAACAAACAAACAAAAACTAATGAAAACTATCTATCAAACTCTTTCTCAATGCTTCTAAAAACATACAAAAACCAATACAAAATTTCTATTAAGGACAAAGACTGCAAATAGAGATTAAAAAAAGTGAATACAAAAACAAAAAAATATTTATATACATAAAAAAAGTATTGAAATATTTCTAACACTCTTTGTTGATTGATTTCCAATTCTGATTTGGCCTTGATTCAAACAACCAAGAAATATTTTTAAGTTTAGTTAGAAGTTCCAAAATCCCCCAGCCGGACTGAACCGAACCGTACCGAACAGAATTTGGAGAACAGAACAGCCCAGACCGTACCCAAACATACATATGTATATGTATGTCCCATAGACCAAACAGGAACCCAACGAACAGAGCATCGGCATTAGCATGCGTAACACATGAACGATAAAATGAGAAACAATAACAAGAAGCAGAGAACCAAAAGAAACCCCAGAACAATACGAATCAAAGCATATAAATAAACCAGCAGATAACTCGAGTAATCCACATTTAGCAAAATAACTTAGTATTACGCCCATTAAGATATGACAAAAGCAAACCCAAAAATAAAACAACAACAAAAAAAAACCAAAACTCACTCACAAAATAAACCAAAAGGAAACCCAAAAAACGAAAAACAAAAGGAAATGTTGTTAAGATTAAAATGAAATGTTTTATAATCGTTATTCAATAAAAATAAAAAAAAAAACAAAATTAAAAAATAATTTACCAAAAAAAAACAGCATCCATCAACCGAAAAATACATCCAACTACGAATGCAAGCCCGAAAATTAACTTGTTCGAGCAGTTTGTAGATGTAATTTCCCTCTCCAGCCGTAAATAAGTATATATGGGGGTTTGTTAACCCCCTTTCACCCTTCATCCCTTAGCCCAGTTCCTCCTTTCCCCCAGTACCATCTAGCCTAGCTTGTGTTTGGTATCTAAGTACTTGTATGTTTTGGGTAGATCTTTGCAGAGGGAGTGGCAAGTATCTAGCCATAGAATCGTTATCATAACCATAAGCCTAGAATATAGTTAATTACTCGTAGACCTAAGAGCCCACAAGGTCTATTCCCTCTTCCCAACCCCAAAACCCCCCCTCCCACCCAATCACACTAACACATTCAATATTTAAATACTATATATATATATACATATGTATGTATGTCTCGTATAACCATCATATAAAGGAGCACAACATTCTCTTACGGACATTTTGTTAGCGTAGTCATAGCTCTATTGCCTTACCCCTCTGTCTCAACACACACACACACACACACACACACACACACACACACACACACACACACACACACAACCCACACACACCACACCCCTACGCGTATATACACTATCGCCGTCTTAATCATGAGAAGGCAACACACAAACAAACCAAAACCAAAAACAAAAAACATAAAACAAAAACCGATGAAACTATAAAAAAAGATATTGAAATTTTATTGAAAATCTTGGAAAGTTGAAGTCCGAACAGGTCAAGCCCAGGTCCAGGCCCAGGCAAGCCAGGCGGTGCTGAACCCAGCGAACGGTGAGTGTGAATACCCCCCGAGTCCAGCCCAACCCCGCCCTGCCCAGCCCAGCCCCTCCCCACGGTTACCACCCGATTTGTCTGTCTCTTCCAATCTATATACTCGTACCTGTATCTATACATATGTATCTCACGCCCTCACTCCATTGAGGAGGGGGCGTGGGGGAGTCTCAGTTTTATTTTGAATATCTCTGTCTGAAACTCTCTTTTGATTTGACTTTTGGTACCATTCGTATTCCTTTTTTGTATGCCTCCATTTTGCCTATCCGTTTTGGTTTTGCCTATCTATGTGTATCTATACCCCAGATATACATACGTATGCTAAGCGCACAACTACCCGTATATCTGTACTGAACTAAGAATATATCTCGTATATATACCTACCCATATATGTACATGTCTCGTATATGATATGTGATAATATATAATAATCGTTTATGGAATATTTTGTAAACTTTTGCTTACATTCTCCCCCTCTAAATGTATAAAACCAAATGTAAGAAACGCTTCAGCGCTCAGTCTGCTCAGCCTGCACCTGCCGACGCTCCTGCGCTCCTGTTCCCGTTACAGCTACCAGCAATCAGCAATCGCTATCGTTATCGTTACGCTATTGCTATATCGCCTACCATTACTGCTATCGCAACCAGCAATGCCATCAGCAGCAGCAGCAGCAGCAGCAGAAACGGCAACTGCAACTGCAACATCAACATCAGCAACTGCAACTGCCAGCAGTCCAGCAGCAGCAGCAGCAACAGTATCAGCAGCAGCAGCAACAACCAGAACAAGAACATGAACAAAATCAAGAAAAAGAAAATATAACATCAAGAAAACAGCAAACTATCAAAAGAACAAGAACAACCCGCAGCATTTGGCAGCTCTCGATAGCTCCGGCTCAGGCTGTACGGCTCCTGCTTCTGCTCCTAAGTCCCGTTTCCCTGTGCTTCCCGATTCCGGTGCATGTGCATTCTGTTGCTATATCCAATCGACGTCCAAATCAATATTGGGATTGAGATTGAGATTGCGACCGAACCAGAATCAGATCAATATATATATACACACACATATATATAAATTGAAGCGCAATCAACCAGCAAAGAAAGCAAAGAAAAATTAACGCAAATCAAACGCAAATTAAAGTAAATCAAAGCTAAAACCAGCATAAGAAACGCAAAGAAAACAACCTAACCTACTCGTAAACCAAAAAAAAAAACAAAACGCAAAAGCAAAGAAAAACATAAGCCAAACGCAAATGCAAATGCAAAAGCAAAACACACAAGGGCGCACGCTTTGCACATTTGCATATATACAACTTACTTGCTACTCCTGTATCTCCTATATCACAACCCCTCCACTACCCACAATCAAGACCACCCCCACACACACACACACATACACACACACACAAAACAAACACAGGAATGCATACCACCAACCAAACAACCAACCAAACAACCAACCAACCAACCAAAAGTTGCATCGAAACCTTTTTTGGCTTTTCTAATCACTTTGAACACGTACGTTTTTTTTCTCTCGCTTTAATTTTGATTTGGTTCCCTTACTCGAACACTCGAATGAGCATAATATCAGCTACTCGTACTCTTTGCCTACTTACGATCGCTTAACTATACCTATATCTCTATATATAAACACACATTATTAAGCACACGGACACACTCAGATGTATCCCAAAGAGCCTCCGGAAACGTCGCCTCTGTTGTGCAGCCTCTCTATCTGTTCATCTCCTACTATCATTATTTTCGCACTCCAATCCCCTTCTCACACACAAGACAGTCACGACCCCACAACGTTAAGAAACCAGAAACCAGAAATTAGTAACCAGAAAACCGAAAACAGAAAACATACATCAAGTACAGTCAATCCAAACAGTCAGTCAGTCGTCAGTCAGTCAATCAGTCAGTCAGTCAGCACACCAATCCAATACAGAGAAGACTTGAACATCACACAACAAGAACCTGAACCAGAACCAGAAAAAGAGCAAGCTGAAACACGAGAAGATGAAACTCAATAGAAGAATATGCAAGAGAAACAGGAGCCATCTAGGACCAACTCTCTTCGGCTCCAGTTCCAGTTCCAGCTCTCGCTATCTGTCTCTCTGTCTGTCATATATCGCTCGCTTGCCTCCCACACTCACTGTGTATGTACGTGCCAAAACAGTCACCGGAGTCCGGATCTGCCATTGCCCCTCCCGCTGCCACGGTTATCACTGTGGTGCGACTGTACGGTGGGTGGTTCGCTGTGGTTCGATTCGGTTCTGATTGAATTGCTTTGGTCTTTCCACACACATCCCTCTACTATGTATATTCATTTTGTGTCAAGTTTAACAGCGACGACGCCAAACGCCGGCACATTTTGTTTATTCCATTTGGCAATAAGTACGCTTCGGTTTTTTGTTAGCCAAGCCAGCCCAGCTGTATCTATATCCAACTATCTCTGTTTATATATATGTACTTCTTAGTGTACTTATCCCTGATTTCCTTACTCATACTTTGACGTTCTTGTTTTTTCTGTCTTTGTTTCGAGTGAATTTTTTTGATTTTTTCCCCTTTGTTGGTTTTTGATTTTGATTTTGATTTTGTTTCCGTTTCTCTGTTCGCTCCAGCCACCAGCAGGAGCAAGATCAGCGAACGATTTGCTTTCAATGTTTGCATACGAATACTAATACCAAAACCAATACCAGTACCAATACCTATACCAATACCCATACCTATACCTATAACAATATCCATACTAATACGAACCAGCTAACGATACCCCCCGTTGAGCTTTTCGTTTTGATTTTTTGCCTTGAGTTCCATTTAGTTTCATTGTATCCTTAAATATCCCTCAAAAATATCCACGCTCCATCTATCGATCTTATCTCTATTATCTAACTTGCTCCGTTTGTGTAACCCATCTCTGTTGTTGTGACATGTTTTTGAGTTGACTTCAGTTGGGTCCGGGTCCGGAAAAGGACTCGGACCAAGGCCAAGGCCAATGCCAACGCCACTGCCAACGCCACCACGGCAGTGGCAGTGGCTATTTAGAATAGTATATCGAATATATCAAAGCTTATAACTTGTTTCTATTTGTTTGTTTTTTTTACCACCTGATTTACATACTGCGTTCTTCTTCTACGTTCTTCTTCATACCAAAACCAAAAACCAAACCAAACAAACAAAAATACCAAAAACGAAAAAAAAAATATATATATATATAAAAAATAAACTAAAAAAAAATATATATCGATATATGCCGAAAAAATGTATATTTATACAACAAATTCAACGAACTGAATTTGAATTTTCGAAATGAATTTGCATATTTAAAACCGATTGAAAACGGGTTAAATATACAAACAAAACGAACAAAACCCCCAAACCAATTGAAAAATTGACAAACATGAATCGAACCCATGAATATTGCCATTGAAAAAAATGAAAATCGAATGCAAATCGATAAATGCATTTAGGCCCGTCGGCTTCTGGGGCAAAATTGTCGGCTCTTTGTGCGTGATCGCTGGTGTGCTGACAATCGCACTGCCGGTACCGGTTATCGTCAGTAATTTCAATTACTTCTATCACCGCGAAACGGATCAGGAGGAGATGCAGAGCCAAAATTTCAACCACGTTACAAGTTGTTCATATTTACCTGGTGCACTAGGTACATACTACTTACTACTATATCTGCTATTTACAATACCGCATAAGAATGTTTTTAGTCTAAGCTTCTCCCAAAATACCCCCGACTACCAAAAACCAAATACCAAATACCGAATACCCCACGAATTCCGTCCCCAACTGCCTGAGTGTCTCTATTCTAATCGATTGCTCTTTTGTGTATTCCCTTCAACATACACAACAATTCCACTGAATATCCCCCCGCCCCACTGAAATAGGTCAACATTTGAAGAAATCCTCACTCTCCGAGTCGTCATCGGACATCATGGATTTGGATGATGGCATTGATGCAACCACGCCAGGTCTGACTGATCATACGGGTCGCCACATGGTGCCCTTTCTGAGGACGCAGCAATCCTTCGAGAAGCAACAGCTCCAGCTGCAGCTGCAGCTCCAGCAGCAGCAACAGGCGCAGCAAGGACAGCAGCAGATGGGCCAGAATGGCCTTAGGAGCACAAATAGTTTACAGTTAAGGCATAATAACGCGATGGCTGTCAGTATTGAGACCGACGTCTGACTACTAGGTGAGTGCTGGCTGGGCAAGCCACAGAGCTACAGAGCAGCAGTGATGGGAATTTCATGTGTGCACAGTTTTACAAACGATTACGAGAGTACGAGAACTAATCCAGTCACGTATGTACTATGTATTCACATTCATTTAAAGCTTAAAGTTCCATTTTACTTACATATGTTGTATGTACCTACTATTTATCTGCTACTATTATCCTATACATTTATCAACAGTCTACTAATAATTATTTTAACTGTCCATTGGGACAATAAGTAAATTTTTATAGGCACAAATACCTAGATATCTGATTCCCATCACTGGCTGCAAGTACGAGCACTGCCATGGGTCAAGGTATTTGGGATGACTATAACTGTCTATGGGATTACTAGATCTATTTCTTCGAGTGTACATAGTACATATATGTATGTATTTCCAACGTTCTTATGTTGCAGTCAAACAAATGGAAAATGGACGAAATTTACGCAGTGAAATGCTACGTTGGATGCCAGAAACGTCATCAAAAGCAGTCTAATTTAGAATTTTATTTAATAAATACAATTAAAATAATAATAATAAATAATAATGATACTTAGTAAGCAGCGTAGTTGTAAATTAAACAGCAAATGTAAAACACAGCCACACACAGATACAGATGCAGACACACCCAGTACACACACACACAGACACACACAAACTCAGTGCCAGTTCACTAAGCTTGAATTAGAGTATTCGTATTCGTAGACACTATAGAGTCAAACATGGACTGGCTTTTTAGACGAATTTTCCTTGTTTTTTTCTTTCTTTTATTTCTCTTCACACACACACACACACACACACACAACACAGAAACACACTCACTCGAAGAAGATAAAGAAAAAAAACTCTACTTGATACCTATGTTCAAATTAAGCAACTAAAACTAACAATCGTTATAGTCAACAACAAAACAACAAGAACAACAACAAAACAGAAAAAAACATTTAAAAAACAAAAAAAAAAAACAAAAAAAAAAAACTAAAAAACTAAATCGAATTATCTTAGTAGACTAATCTAATTGGAGTTTCTTCCTTTCTTTAGATGCTAGCAAAACAAAACCAAACCAAACAAAAACATCCAGACAAAATCAACAAACAAACAAACAACAAGAAACAAACATACAATATCTACTTATTTTATTTTCAACTTTAAATTATGCTCTATTAATTAAATATTAGTCAAATATTAGTCAAATGAAACTTAACTAAAAACTAAAAAAACCGAAAACAAAAACAAAACAAAACCAAATACAACAGCAACCAAACCTAAGGCAAAAAGCGTAGCAAAAACGTGGAACGGAAGCGAATGCGGAAAAGGAAATGAACAGCGGCTTGTCGCTGTTAAAGCAGTGCTTCTAACTTACTTGCAGAAGCAGTTTCACTGCTTGGCGGATGCTTAGCGAAGAACACATCAAAACAGACAATTGCTATCTGATTCGAGCTTGTCCGATTGTTGTGTGAACACATTTATAACCTTTCCACCCTTGTCCGATCACTGATCCATCTTATACTAGTCTTATTCCACTCTGAATAACGTTGAATCGCTGTACTAAATCATTCAATTAAAATTACATGGACAAATGGCATTCGCTGCTGCGTACTTAAGAAATCATCGAATCTGAACAGACATGTTTAGAGTTACTAAAGGTCATGGTTGATAGATAAATGGAGATTTGAAAAGATCAAAAAATCATGAGAAACTATAATTGTACTGCCTTGACACAGCAAATCAGCTGTTGTATTTCCACTCATTGACCAGTTGCCAGTCAAATCTTAGTGGAAGAGATCCATATTCATTCGTGAAGGTCGTAAAGTCTGCTTGGTTAAGGTGGTTAAGGTGCTGCTAAAGTCCTGCGTTCACTGAAAAGAGACAAACACACACACATGACACACACAGACAAACACACACACACACACACACACACACACACACACACATACATGATATTGCTAAAAAAAACATCAAAACTGCCGTTAAGTTTAAATAATGAGTAATACAAAGATCATATATAAATAAAAATATATATATTAAATATATACATACATTTACATACATAATTAAATATACATAAAGTAAACTAAACTGCTATTTTGTAAATAAGTAAGTCAGAGCTGAGCTGAAGCTGAACAAATAGACATAGACATAAAGTATATACATACATATATATATATATAAATTAATTAATTAATTAATTAATTAAACAACCAAAAAGAGAACCCAAAAAACAACCAAAAACCAACCAAAATCATAGCTAACTAAAACAAGGGGATACAAGACGAACCTAAAACCAAAAATGGAAAAAAAGAAAGCTGCTAACGATACAAAAACAATAATTAAACTTAGCAATTACAGACAACCGACAACAAGAACAGCAAACACAAAAAGCCGATAAAACAAAAACAACAGAAACACAGAAACAACAGAAAACGCCACAGTACCGACAAATGAGAAGTAAAAAACCTACAATGAACCGCGCTGATCTTCCTATTTGGAAAGCAAAACAAAACAAAATTACATACAAATTAACCCCCCAAGGAGAAAACTAAATTTATATCAGACCTTTGGGAAAGCCCTGGCTCAAAAAGCCCATGCTAGCCCTGCTAGCCATGATCTCTCATCGGAGGCCTTCTGCTTTCGTTTAGTTTAGTTTAGTTTTAGTTAGTCTTCCTCCATTACAGCGATGACCAGCACGTGTTAGTGAGAAACGTTAGTACTCGTAGCTGTTACTGTTTATCCAAATCCAAGGGCACACAGACCCTCTAATAGTAACTAATAGTAAGAAACGCTGAAGGCAACGCTGAATGGATATGGTCATCGCTGATCTAATCGTATTACTTATGTATGTATATGTATTTCATTGGGGAACACTCACCTAGCAGTTCCGTCAGAGTTGTCAGCTTGTAGTGCTTAAGTACGTGTCTTTCCTATATCCCTCACACGCACGCACAAGAAACGTAAGCCAACACAAATACAAACACACAAACACTCCACTCACACACACACACTACGCCACCAGAAAAGGAAACACATACAGACATACAGAACAGCAGTGTAGGATCTAATAATGTACACACACACAAACACCACACACACACATTCATACTCGTAGGTGTATCGTATCGAACACTTGATTTTCTGTCTTCCTAATTTTTGTGATTTGATCCAATCAAAATCTTCTCATTTGAAAACGTTCAATCTAGCGACTTCAACTTTTGTCAAGCTTAAAAAAACGAAACCAAACAAAACCAAACCAAAAAAGAAATAAATTTCATGCGCATTCGGTAACTACCAGTAGGTACATATGTATACTCATATGTAGATGAATTTTCGAGTATATCGCACTGCTTCCAATGATAAGGAGAGGAGAGCTTCTGTGCGTGCGGCGGAGTTTCTGCATGCAAATCGATCAATGCCATATCTAAATTTCTCTATACCTAGAATCCTACCTACAAAGCTTTGCTTCTACTGCTCTTGCTAACCGAAACGAAACCAAACCAAACAAAACAAAACTAAACTAAACAAAAAACAAAATATAAGAAAAAGAACAAATAATATATATAAAATTGCACAAGTTCAGGAGCCACAAATGACTTTGGACCACAGAAGAAACATCTCACAAAACCAAAATAAAACAAAAACAAAAATAATAGAATGAGAATGAGAATGAGAAGGAATAAGAAGAAAGGGTTTGAGAATGAGTAGTGGAAAACAGAAGAGCAGAGACAGAAGAGACAGAAGGAATACCAAACAGAGAACTAACCTACAGCATGCATATATACATACATACATATATGATATTTATATATATACAGACATATATATACACATATATATAAATGTGTTTTTGTTAGATATGCGACTGAATAAAAGTTTTTATTGATTTGCTGCTTGTTGTAATTAAGAAGAATTTAAACCGAAACCTAAACCTAAACCTAAATTAAACGATAATATTTATACCAAAGAAAATCTGTAAATATGTAAAAATGTAAAACGCAAAACGGAAAATGGAAACCCCAAAAAACAACAAAAAACTTAAAAAAAAAAGCGGAGAGAAAATATCGTAAAATAGATCGAATCAATTTACAGCTTTGAAAACCGTCCACACGCACACAGCAAACGAAAGCGGAAGTAAAAGAGATAGTGGGGGCATACAAGAAGAGTAAGAGAATGAAAGGAGACAGAAAAGGACAGAGAGGGAAAGGTGAATATAGAATTTCAGAGAAAGGAGAGGAAGGAATAGAATCAACTAGAACCGATTGACATTCGAACGTATACTTGATTTGGCCTCAAGCGCAGTCCAGCACATACCAGCATACTCCCATATACAAGGGTACACAGACATACATACATATGTACATACATATAAGTATAGCACATGTATATGCCGTTTGTAACAAAAGTTGAAGTATTACATCCGAACGTCGCAGTCGCAGCATCACTTTTTATACGTGCCTCATTAGCATTGCCATTGCCATTGCCATTATCATATTCAGAACCAGAGGCAGATGCAGATGCAAATTGAGTTTGGTTTTAGTTTATTCGATTATCGGTTCGGCCAGTCGATAGAGACAACAAATGAGCAATAACAAAGGATAGAACACACATAAATACTCTTAATATTAGCTATAATAACTACACAGTAATCTCTGCATAGAACAACCCAAAGAATAATACTACAAATAAACGTATAAATAATAATAATTAATTCAACAAAATTAAACGTAATTAAACGTAAAAAAAAACATATCGTCTTAAAGTCATGCGAAAGAAAAAAACCAAAAACCAAAAACAAATACAAATAAAATATTTTTTTTTTTATAAGCGTAATTTACAAGCTAATATTAAAAACCAAAAAAAAAAAAAAAAACAAAAAGAAATCGCTGAGGAAATAAAGCTTACTATTAAATCGAATGATGGAGAAAGATAGCCGAAGGGAGGATTTTAGTTCTAGAGCAGATCAGAGCGATGAAAGAGAGAGGAAAGAGAAAGGAAAATGAAAAAGGAGAAAGAGAAAGAGAAAGAGGGAGTCCCAGGCCAGGCTACAACTAAAAGTGATATAAACCAAAAACAAGTCATAAAACCACAAAAAAAAAACGAAACAAACAAAAAATAACTTGCCAAAATAATTAAGTGTACAAGCAGAAGAGAAGATGAAGAGGCACATAGAAGGAAGAACGAGACCGAGAGCGAAAATACGAACAAAGTGGGAGAAAAACTATGCTAATTAGAAACCGAATAAATATCTAAGATCGAGTCGCTCTGCAGGCAGCCAGCAACAGCAAAAGCAAAAGGGATCCAAGCCAGCAATCCAGAATATACAATTTACGATTATGGGAACCTAGCCCGAAACAGAAGCCAACTGCTTTCCAGCCACCTCCAGCTGAGCCCCGTCCGCATTCCCCTTCTTTCATTAGGACATCTAGTAGATTTTCCCTTGACACCGCTAAAGACCCTGTCCCTGCCCACAGATTATTTTGTTGCTCGTTTCAAGACCTACCTACATACATATGTATGTATGAAGAGGAATGAGGAGGAGGAGGAGGAGGAGTAGGAGCAGGCTTGAAAAGTATAATGAACCGTATAATAGTATGAATAAACACAAAGACTGGAATAAAAACAATATGAAAATAATTAAAAGTACATTCACACACACATACATACAAATGCATGGGTAGCACACATACATACACGCGTACATACATGGCATAGATGAGTGTGTGTGCAGGTCCCTAGGCATTACCTTACATCCCATTCCATCCTCATCCTGCTTCGATCGAAGGCCAAGAAGTTCAGTCTCGTCTCGTCCCATTCCCATTGCCATGCGCATTCGCATTCGCACTTGCAGCTTTGATTCCGATTCCGATTCCATTTCGAAACCACATTTAAAAATTCAATAAAGTGCAACTACCACAAACCAGAGAATATTTAGCTCAAGCATGCGAAATACAACAATAAAAGTAAAAATAATAAATATGACTAGAAAATATAATAAATAATTAATAATTATTAATAATAATAATAATAAAAGGCACATTCAGTCAGACACACAGATACAGAGCAAAGTATTAGGCCCAGATCCAGATGAGGTTCAGGAAGAGGCAGGAGAGAAACGGAAAGAAATGCAAATGAAAGGAAAGAAAGAGACAGGATTCAGCAGAGAGAGAGAGAGAGAGATGTGGGGAGGAAGAACGATTAGCAGGAAGCAGAAAGAAAAGAGAGCGGCGCCACTCCATGTAAATTATACGTACAACAATAACGACAACAAAAGATGGGCATATGGAAAAACTACTTATGAATTAATGCTAAACAAATTTACATATTATACATATATGCATATGTGTATATTTACATATATATGTATGTATATACATATATAACTCTTTATATATATATATATATATATAGCTAATACATAAGTAAATGGAATAATAATAACAGACAAGCGGCGTAGCAATTATAAAATATATATGTATATGTATTAAATATATGTATGTATATACATATATATGTTGTTAGGATTCTAAAATGAAGTGTTTTATAAATAGTTAAACCGAAAACAAAACAGAGATGAAACCAAAACAACAACAACAGAAAAAAACCAAATGAATATTATATATTAAATACGGAGAAGGAAATCCAAGAAGCAGAGGTACTAGAAGATGAACACACAGCTAAGAAACAAAACAAAACGAAACGAAAACAGAACACACACACAACACACACACACACACACACACACACACACACACACACACAGCACACACACACAATAAGAAACCTAACTAAAACTACGAGTACTCGTACAATAAGCAACAAACAAAGCGAGCAAGCACAAAATTTACCGCAATGACTTTCGATCAATTTTAGCCAAAAGCAAAGAGCAGAAACCACAAAATAAAAACCAAAGAATCAATTTTTACAATCGTTGTAAATTTAGAACAAACCAAATTGGATTTCGAATCAAAGCAGCTTACAAATGAACAAACTAAAATGAATATTAATATTATGTATGAGAGATACGGCAGCCAGCTACAAAATAAATACAGACACACCACACACACAAACAAACACAAAAACACATACATTGACATTCACACAGACAGAGGCAGACACACGTTACTTTATGAACATAAAACAAATTAAATGGAAAAGTATATAAAAATAAATTATGCTAAATGAAAAATACAAACATCGCAGCATTTGTTTTCTCATTTCAAATGAACAAGCAGTGTAACGGTAAGTGTTAAATGGAAGCAGTTACGTTTAACCGATTTTAAATGATTGCAGTTATGTTAGCAAGCAGTGACTGTTAACCGACTTAGACTGCTTGCAAGCAGTTATGTATGTAGAAGTTGAATAATTCGAAAATTCATTTGCAGAAAGATTTAGGCTTTCCCTACGACCTTTCGTGCTGTGTGTCGAAGCTTCCTTCCTATCGCAATCATAATTTGCGATGCCGCCCCCAGCAGAACTAGTGGTGCCAAATCATTGAATGCCGAATAGTGCCCGCGAAAAAATCCAAACAAGAAGAGACTGCACAAGTGGATGTATCTTAGAGTCGAGACACTCGACTGTAGTGTTAATTCTTATTCGTAAATCTCTCACATTATAAACTTATACACTAAGTCTACCGATTTCATGAATCTGTCGATTCCGGCCACGATGTCGGGGGATATATTTACAGTGCTGAAAGTTTTGGTGCGCCGCCAATCGGCAGGGGGAATGTGGGGCATATAAATGGTGGGATGAGAAGGCGGTTGGGGGGATGCGGATGGGATTGGAGATGGGGATTGGGGATGGGTAGCTTTGCGGGGGATCTGCCCCAGCCACGATCCGGGGTGAATGGCGCTGCCAGATTCTCATATCACAAAGTGTTCTTCCTGGATAGCAGACGCCGGGAGCGCTCAGTGGAGTGCCAATGAGGAGGCTCTGCCTCGACGCCGGGCCCCCCTCTCCCTGGTCTTCGATGCCGATCCAGACACCGAAACTGAGGCTGAGGCTGAAGCTGAGTCTGCACCTCCGGCGGCACCTCCTCCAGCTGCTGCTGCTCCTGATAGAGGTGGTCGATAGGTGGGCAGGTCAACGAACACAGGCCGATACTCGGGCACCTCCGGGCGCATGGACCGCGACTCCGAGTGCAGCACATTGGTGTAGTAGGTGACCTCGTTCTCCTGCACCTTCCGCTGCCGCTGCCGCTCCGCTTGCTCCTGCTCCTGCTCCTGCTGCTCCTCGTCGCGCCTCTGGGCGGAGCGGGCGCGCATCAGCCGAAAGAGATTGCGCTGCTGGACCGCTGAGCGGCGCGCCGCCTTCTGGCCACGTGTCTTGCCATTGCCATTGCCATTGCCATTGCGCGGTGTGGGGATGGAGCTTGTGCTGGTGTTGTTGTTGAGAAAGGCAGACTCCTCGTAGCGGGGAATGTAGCGCGGCTTGCGCTGGTCGCTGGCCGGACGGGCTAGCTCCCGGTCGTGTGGCGTCACATTGAAGCCGAAGAAGCGCGGCGCCTGCACAGAGATCAGGGGCAGGAGCGTCTCGCGGGCATAGCGTTCGGCCCGCTGCAGCAGCTCGCCCAGGCGGAAGGGCAACAGCTGCACCGTCTGCGGCTCATCCTGGCCAGCTGTGGCGCTGTGGCCGGTGCCTAGCTGTGCCATCATTTTGGGTGGAGCCACAGAGGCAGCTGAGGCTGAGACTGAGGCTGAGGGTGTGGATGGCGCTGGCGATGGTGATGGACAGGTGAAGAGGTTGTCTGAGCGCGCATCTCTGTGGGCCCTTCGAGCTGGCGCAGGTCCAACTCCTTGCCCTGCTTGACGCGCGGCGTGGTGGCCTTGAGCACCGGCTCCATGATCTCCTCCGTGGTGGTGCCGTAGTCCTGCAGATTGCGTCCCCGGTTGAAGGCCGCCAGACGCCTGTCCTTGAGCACGGGCTCGAAGATCTCACCCGCTTGGTCCTGGTCCCGGTCCTGGCCACCGGCCCCCAAAACTGCCGCCGCGTCCGATAGACTGCGACTGGACTCGGCCGCCTCGGCTGTCTCGTTGTCCAGCGAGTTGCCCACCAGGATGGGCTGCCAGGGCAGCTCGTCGCCCTGGTCCAGAGGATAGGTCTGGTTCTGGGCCAGCTTGAAGCTGGTGCCGAGATTGAAGATGTCCTTGCGCTGCTTTGCGCTCTCCACGCCGTCGACGGCGGCGGCGCTCAGGCCCGACTCCTGCACACTGGAGTCAGGCACATCCGTAGAGGCGAAACCGGTCGCGGGAGCCAGTGTGGCCTGTGGCCCTGGTGGCTGTGGCGGCGGCTGGGTGGTGTAGGCGCCGTAGTCCTCCTGGTTGTCCAGCTCGCAGTTTCCGGCCTGCAGGCGCATGCGGACGGGGCTGCCGCTGCTGAGCTTGGTGGACGGACGGCACAGGGAGTGGCTGCGGCCGAAGCTGTCGGTGAGCACCACCTTGTCGATGTCCCAGTGGGGCAGGCCCTTGCTCAGCCAGCCGCTGTACGACTTGTAGTGCAGGCTCAGCGTGGTGGGGAAGCCGAGGGCGGGATGGGGCACGATAATCTTGGACACGATGTCACCGGCAAAGAACTCCGCATCGTCCTTTCTGCAGGACAAAAGAGAGAGAGAATGGAAAATGAGATTGCAGAAGGCAGGAAACGGCAGGGACCTACTCGGATATGGCGAAGGTCTCGTTGAGGCCACCATCGCCCTCGAGAATGGCCTCGAGGCGGCCGATGGTGCGCAGGGGCAGGTCGTTGAACGAGTTGAAGATCTGCAGCTGGAACTGGTGGGCGCAGAAGGGCTCCTCCTCGCGGGTGAGCAGGTAGAGCTGGCCTCGGCCCGTCGAGCGGTCCGCGTAGTAGCCCATGTTGCCGCACCGGGGCACGCCCTCGGCGAGATCCTCGTCGTCCTGGGCGCAGGGGAAGCACTTGCCCTTGAGGAAGTCGTCGTAGCTGCCGCAGGGGAAGGCGGGGAACATGCAGCGCGGCGCCACCGAGTCGATGAAGAACTTGTAGGCGCGCCGATGGTTGCATAGCGATCGTCCCTCCTCGTCCTCGGCTGCCTGGGCCGCTGTGGGGGAGAGCATGAGTGGATTGTAGTGGATGATCAGTGGATAAGGAGTGAGAGGGAGCCTCAAGCTTACACCAAATGAAGTCAGTGACAGCGCCGACAAAGAGATTGGAGCAGCCCGTCTGCACACGTCCGCCGTTGGGGTAATAGTCGACGTGGCCCATGGGCTGCCACGAGCCGAGTCCACCGAGTATGAGGTTCTCGCCATTCGAGTGGATCACATCGACAAACTCCGCATCGTTGCTGTCCAGCCGCACCTTCGGGTGCTGGGCCTCGAACAGCGGACCCGCCGGATCCAGGCCCGTGATGCGCGAGAGACCCGGCAGCTCGGCGCCGGCGAAACCGGACACGTGGGCGCCCAGACTGAAGCCGATGAGGTGGGTGCGCATCAGATTGAGGCCCTTGTGCCGCTGCAGATTCTGGAGCAGCATGGCCAGCTGCTTGCCGACGAGGCGCGTGTTGGCCGCCGCCCGCACGTAGTTCGGGAAGGTGGCCCCGTTCTCCCAGTCCACGCAGATCACGATGCAGTCCTCCTGCATGTAAATGTGCGATTAGCAAATGGAAGGCGGCGCTGGGAGAGGCGTCTGACCACTTACCACTGCCATGAGAGCCGTCTTCATCTCGTAGATCCAAACGTGGGGACAGGCCGAGCCGAAGCCGTGAACGATGACGCGAACGGATAGCTCGTCGAAGCCTTCCAGATCATCGATCGAGGGGGCTGGCTTCTTCTGCCCGCCACCGCCACTGAGCTTCTCTGTGCCTAAGGTTGCATTTGTACTCGAACTGGAGGTGGAACTAGCACTGGAACTGGAGGATCTGCCGCTCTCGGGAGCAGCTGGAGGGAGCGTGCTGGAGTGGTCGTTCTGGTCGCTCTGCGTTTCCGACTCGCGCTTGGCCTTGCCGCGGAAGGCGGTGGTCATGTTGAGGAAGGACAGCTCCATCAGCGGCCGATCCGAGCGCTGGCGCGTCGAGTAGAAGTAGAACTTGGTGTTGATCTCCTCCGGCGGCGAGGGCAGCATCTCCAGGTAGGCGAACGGGCCGGAGTCCTCGAAGCATCCGAGCTCCCCGTAGCACACTCGCTTAACCGCCCGTTTCGAGCGGTGTCCATATCGCTGGCGCTCCTCGTGCTCCAACAGCGAGTCCCGCACGGCTCGCGATAGCTCCGTAAAGTTGCCATACGCTGCACGTGTGGGCGTGGCCACATCACTCACTTCCTGGGCGATCGCTGCAAGTGGAGGAGAGATTGAGTGGGTGAGTCAGTGGCCGGACAGAAATGGCACCGTGGGGCGTGCCAACATATCAAAGGGGTTCTATGCATGGCAGTCACGTACAGCCCGCGACTCTAGCCAAAAACACATTTGATTTAATTCGATTTCGTTTGTCCAATTTGGAGAATCCATCAACGCATTTTAGGAATTTTAAAATTTTAAAATTTCAAAACTTTATCAACTGCTTGGCTTTCCGTGCTGTCTGCACTGCTTCGACGAACCGCTTGCCTCTTATGTTAACATTCTTGCATGAGCGTGCATCACACTGCTTGTAAGCAGTGGAACCAGTGACAAATCAAAAAAAGGTAGCTACGAATGTCGTATACATTTCTTTAATGACTACGCGTAAATTATTTTAATTTTCCGCTTAACGCTTTTCTTGTGCACTTCACCATAATTTGAAACGCACGCCATTCGCATGACATAACACCGCCATGGAACGTGTCCATGTGTGTGTTGTGTGTGTGCTCTGTCTCTATTGTACTATGTATGATAAATCGACGAAGCGTGATTGCTCATCGCACTATAGGCAAGTAATAACCAACCAATAACCAAGCCCAAAACAGCAACCCAAAATTGAGTGTCGGCAGCTCAGCTCGCCACACACGTTGTCTGCTTAATTATCCTCTGGCTGTGGCTGTGTATCGCATCCAAAAAAAGAATAGGGAAATCATAAAGAACACATGGATTGCGATAAGATCACGCAATATCCCGAAATGGGGTTGCGGCAGGCGGTATTTATATTCCTATTCATATTCATATTCATAAATTCTATTCTCTGGCGGGTGCAACTGTCCTTGAGTCTAAGGAAGACCATTGCGTGGGATCACATGCCATTCCAACTCGCACTGTGGAGGATAGGCAGGTGTGCTCGCTCCAATAATCCATACTCTTCAATCCATGGCTGAGTCCAAGGGTAAACGTAAACTCTGCTTAAATTGAGACTTTTATTGGTTTTACCTTCACGACACACAGTCAAGCACGCCGCTCTCACACGAGCGAGTATCTGAGAGCATTATGCAATCAATCCCTGAACTGAAGTTACTGGCTGGCTGGCTGGCTGCCTGTCTGTCATCCATTACTCACGAAGCTCATCCACCGCCCTCCGCCCACCCACACAATGTAACTGACAGACAGTTAGACAATCAGTGACAAACCTATTCCAGTTGAAAGCGTATTCGCACCGAGCGCTAAGTAAATTAGTTAATGTGTTTGTCTGTCGCTGGCAATTAGTTAATGGAGCCCACGGGGCGTATACTCACCATTTCCCGTGTGGCACAGGCACAGGCACAGCGATGCCGCTAGCAGCAGCAGCAGCAGCTGATAGCACATTCCTCCGCTGATTGTCGCGATTGTTTCCCGTTGCTGCTGTTGTATTAGTTAGTTGCTGTTCTACAACGCTCTCATTGATCGAATTTCCAAGTCGACACGTACACGGTGACACGATCTTGATCTTGATCTTGTCTCTCAATGGAATTGCTCTGATCTAGTGAGCATTGCTCCGCTTTCTGGATGATGCTGCTGTTGATGTTGATGATGATGTTGTTGTAGTTGCAGTTAACATTCGCTCGCACAGGTTTCTGTTGTGTTGTGTTGTCTCAATGGTGTTATGCGTCTCGTCTCTTTCGCTTTAGTAATAGCGAAATATACAATAAACAAATTCACTTTCACTTATTTGTGAACCTGCCGGACAGCAGCAGCAGCAGCAACAGCAACCACCACACGAAGACACTGAAGACTGAGACTTCAGCTGACGCTGACTACAGTCGATGTCGATGTCTATGGCAATGGTGATGGTCTGCATGTAGTGTTGTTGGTTGGTTGTTGGTTGTTGGTCCAGTCGTGACTATAACTATGACTATGACTATAGGTTCAAGTGTCTGACTCACTGACTGACTAAACCAATGCAGACAGTGTCGCCTCGATAAGCTTCCACTCCTCCAGCTCCAGCTCCCACTTCCAGCTTTCAGCTTCCAGTTCCCAGCTCTCGGCTTCAGTTGGAGTTTCAATTTCGGTTCGAGTCACCTCTGATCGGTGCTGTTTGTTTCGCTGGCTCTCCAGGCGTCGGTGGCTGGTCCGTAATGGTTATTAGTTATTGGTTATTGGTTATTGCTGCTTGTCTGCTTGTCTGCTGTTCGCGTTGCGCTTGATTGAATTATGTGGCAGACGCAGCGACGGCGCTGGCTTTCTCCCGCAGATGACGCCAATGGCAGGGAGAGCAGCTCCCACTCCAATTCCAGCTCCAGCCCCAGTTAGCGACAAGCCCCACGAACTGATTGATGGCCTGATTGATTGCTTCGTGTATTGGATCCGTCTGCAATCAGAAGAAGTAGAAGAATCGGTGTCATATCTCTCTTTCAATTGTCTGTGGCCGCTGGTCGGAGATCTGCCAAATGGCAAATTATATAATAGGCTGCCGGCTCCACCGGCTCTAAACAGGATATTGCGTTTGCATTTCTCTGTGTGTGTTGTGTGTGTGTGTGGACCGTGCCATTGACCTTACACTTGACTGCAAAACATTCTCGAAGAGCGAATCCCACCTAACCACTTTTGCGGTTGCCTTGCCTCACATTTGGGTCAAGCAGTCAAAGCCGTCTGTTGACTTTTGACTAATTCACCCAGCCCCCCTCCACCACCTTCTGTCTTCAAATTGCAGGCCTCAATTGGTGGGGCCCAAGCCCGGGGGGGGAGGTCGGGCTGCCAGATGGCACAAAGGAAAGTGAAAACCTCCCCAAACCACAAGCAAATGAAACCGAAACCGAAGCCAAAACCAAAACCAAAACCAAACCCAAAGCCGTGACTGTAAAGTAAACGCACCAAAACTGTGCTCCCGCCCCATCGATTAACAAATTTGATTTTCAATCGTCTTCATTTCGCTTTCGTTAGGTGCGCCGTGAGCCAACAATTAGCACTTGGCCAAAGCCTCGTCAAGAAATAGTATTAGGCAAGAGCTTCGTTTGGGTTGTAAATTTGCAGCTGGGAATTGGAGGCCCACGACAGATGCGGTCATCGTTGGTCATCGTTGTGTGGTCAGTGGAAATGCACCCAAGAATTGTTGGGTTGGGCAACTCGCAACAAAGTCAAATGCCAAGACAAAAATGTAAACTGAAATTCAAGCCTCCCCTTGACTACCTACAAGGGCAAACATCTTCCATTTCGCTGCTGTCGGAATGTGCATACGAGTATGTATCGAAAGAAGATTCACTGCTGGCAATGGTTACTTATATCATTCCAGTCCAGTCCAATCCACAACCAAAACTACCCATAGCCAAGGGATAGCAGCCACATTGGCATCTGCGTTAATATTTTTTCTGTTCCATGGGAATCTTCAATGCTAATGATGAGCGCTGATGAAAAGCTAAATTAAAGTGCCGTTAAAGAAGGAATCGGCCTTTTGTCTGCCCTACACTTGAGAGCGTCACAGAGTTGACAGCTGACGGACGGTGATGAGAAAGCAGCGGAGACAAATGTCAACCTCAACGTCCACAGCGTCAAAATGGAAAGTAACGCACCAAGTAATGCTTCTATGACGACTTTCGCATGGGCTACTCCGACTCCGACTCCGACTCAGACTCAGACTCGATCTGAGTGGTGCTCTCTCGTGCTGGTGGTTGGTGGTGTCGGCTACTTCTACTTTCAAATAGATTAACCTAATTTGATGGCTCTGGGGGCCGCTTTCAGTTTGCTCATTTTCGCATTTGGCGGCTCATTTTGCTCATTAAAATCAAGCGAAGAACGCGACTGGAGTGGGCAACTACTCGTCTGTATGTATGTATGTATGTATGTATGTATGTATGTATGTATGTATGAATGTGTATCTCTGAGATACACTGAGTTGAAGATGGAGATGAAGATTGAGATATGCAAGTCCCATTTGAATGGCGGTGCTGGTGATGAAAAGTGAGACGTGCCGAGAACTGGCTGGGAAAGTGGCTCTGCAAATCGAATGGGAAAACCGAACCAAGCCAAAGAAAAGTGCAGCGTACACGTACAGAGCGCAGTTTTCTGTCTATCCTATCCCTCTGTCTATTAGACTGTCTGTCAAACTAGCCGTCTCTATGTCGGTCGCTCTGTCTGTCTGTCTGTCTGTCTCTCTGTCTGTCTGTCTCACTGTTGGACCTCCTCCAGCCAATACGAGCTGGGACGTGAGCCAAACGAATGGACAATGGTCACTTAACATTGCCAAATACCATCCACAATGGCTCTGCATTGTCTTCTCCTTCGTCGCTGGGTTTTTTTTTTCATCCTTGTGCAATCGAAGTTCGCGTAAAGCGATTTGATTGATTTGTCAGGCTAAATTTATGTACAAACATTTCTACACAAAACGAAATATACCCGCAAGAGCATACCTATGCACGGGTATAAGTAAAAACAATTGTAAAACTTTACTACATATTATTACGCTATGCTCTCGAAACCATATAGAGAACCCATCGGGAATTGAGCAATTTCTTGTTGAAATTGTCTGAATTGGCACGATTGGCACATCGAGCATTTCTGCTCGAATTTCGCAAGGGAAAACTCTAAGCAGGATTACGAAGCGGTGGATATATCTGGCCATGGAGCTAAAAGTGCCACGAAAGTGATTTAGTGATGGCATTTTATGTATTTAAAGAGCATAGTCTTTTAAGGCGAATAAAATAAAATAATTTAAAAAACAAAGTCTTATATAAAACACTTTTAAATAAATACGTATACTCAATTTGTCAAAATATACTTGTTGTTGTTGGTGGACTTGGTTCCCATATTAAGGCAAAATGCCACCTGCCATTCAAAAGACTTAGGCAACGAACTTGCGAAACTCCCTGGCTCATGTCCATATCCCTGCCCCAGCGCCAAGTGATGGCTGATCGGTGGCTGCTGATTGCTGACTCTTGCTGAATGAATGCTGATTGCTGATTGCTGTGTTGGCCAGCAGTTGGCCAGCAGTTAGGCCAGCATAAAAAACTCCCAAAAACCAAAAGGAAAACCCCAATAAACGAAAATATAAATTTCCTTAGCCAATTTTTGTATGAAGCGCAGCAGCAGCATGGAAAACAGTTGTTTCCTGTTTGTTACGACGCGGACATGGGCCCAATAGCAGCGAAAATAAAAGCTAACAAAAAGGGAGGAAGCCGACAACAAAAAACCGACCAAAACCAACCAATTTTAGCTCAAAGAAATATCAAATGAGAAAAGAAACAAAAACAGAAACTGAAAAGGCAAAGGCAAAAAAAAAGCAAAATAAATGCATAAAAAACCAACGGCGCATAAAATTTCCGCTCTGGTCTTTGAGGGAGGGGTAGGGGGGACTTGTTCGTGCCCGTGCGGCCGATGGCTGGTGGCCGGTGGCTCGGTGGCTCGGTGGTTCGCTTTGGTGCTTGCCATAGCAGTTGGTATACCCGTACTCAAAAAAGAGTTAAGGGGTATTATTTGAAAAGATGTGTGTAACGCAGGAAGGAAAATTTCCCCAATAAAGTAATATATTTTATAGCATCAATAGCCAGCCAATATAGCTTTGTCTGTTGCGCTGTCTGTCTGCTGTCTGTGTCTGTCTGTCTCCTGTCTGTTACGACGCGGACATGGGCCCAATAGGCAACCAAATTTGGTTTAGCTCACTGATATCCACTGCTAGGTGTATCCAAAATTTCACCCCCGCCCCCACAAAGAACGAAATCTGTGGCAGGCACTTTTAAAGATACGATAACTAAAATGCAGAAAGAAAGCCCATATTACCAGAAGCGAACTGAATCAGATCGGATCATAATTATAGCCAGAATGAAGAAATGAATTTCTGTTGGTTCCCTCTCCCAGCGCTGCTGACGCTAAATTCTCGCTCACACTCTGCCGCGTTCAGTGCGTGAGCAACCCTAGGGGGAGTGTTAAATGGTACATGTACAATCTACATGTTAGATGTGGAATTACATTGTAGATGTAGGTGGATACAGATGTAGCAAAATGTAAATTTTTTATACTTAGCTCAAAATGTATATCAGCTGGTCGGGTATCCCAGAAGCGACTTACACGTTCCTTCTCGTTTTTTTGGTTTTTTTTTTGTATGCATGCTCGAGTATTCGATTCCCCAAGAACTTCCCCAATCCCCAATTGCCGATGCATGGCACGAAAGGAGAACAACGAAATGAGCAATATGCCATAAATCAAATTCGTTGTGAAAATCGTTGCTTGGTGAAGCCAACCAACGTTGGCTGCAGTGCAGCAATGGCCAACAGCCAGCAGAAAACAGCAAACAGCCGCAACATAGCCACAATTACATGTACAAATACATATACATACAGACAGACATGGGTACATGCAATGGGCCAAGTACCACAAGTGGCCAAGTGTGTGACACAGTTTTCGGGAATAACATTTCCCAGAGACAGCATCAAGTTACCAGTTATGGTTCACGGCTCATAGAAAGAGCGGGAGCGAAGCCACAGCCACAGCCAGAGCCGAACCGAACCGAACAGAGAGCTGACCTAATCAGGCACTACCCTACACTATATCATTTGCCGTCTTACGAAACCTTCTGGCCCACTTACCCAATGACAATGCGACGCTGATTAAATAAACCAGAAGCAGAAGCCAAAGCCAAAGCCAAAGAAGAATAGATATATGAGATGGATGATAGTGTAGCGGAATATAATATAAAAGCAGTCGAACTGAACAACTAACTGAAGTATGTGTAGGGCATTGTTTACAGGAGCTGTGACGAGCTCTTTGACGATCTGGCATATGTCAGCATCCCACGATCACTGAATATGCTGATGCTTGCATGTTCTCTGAATAAAATCCATCTTTGGATACTCCGCCGCTTGCTCAAGTCCCAGCCTTAGTAGAAAAAATATCTCGACTATGGAGAGAGATTCTAAGCGCTGGATTATAGAGTACTCAAGGTACAGAATCAGAACAAAGATAATTTCTCGTTTTAATTGCAGACACCGTCTCGCTTTGCTGGCCTTTCGCCGTGCCAGAGAGAATGTCAAGAGCAAAAGAAATTTAATTTGTTTGAACTCATTTTATGGCTGCCTTTCTTTGCAGAGGGGGAGAGAGAGAGAGGATCTTGTTCAACTTTAACTAGTAATTAAGTCAAAGCATCAAATGTTGTTCAAATAAACGTCATCGTTATGTTGGCCAGTGACACAAACTTAAATGGTAGCGCACATTGAACTGTGTGTGTTTGAATATGTACATTAAGTATATAATTTAAGGAAATTTTCCAGCATTTAGCAGACATAATGGCCATTTACATTTGTATTTGCATTTGCATTTGATAATGCGAGTGATATAAACGGTATAAACGACCTTGTTCCGCAGGCCAAATCGATTCGGTGGCCATAATCCACAATCAACAATACACAGGCTGCAATCAACAATCAACAATCAAAAGTCAACAATCAACAGAAGCAGTCAACAATCAGCCGCTGACAGGCAGTCATTGTTCGCTATGGTTTTATTATGTTTGTTCAGCATCAAATGCAATTCAAAATGGAAATGAAAACGAAAATGAATAAAATTGACAATTTGCCGCTGGGCAAAATAAACTTTAAGCTTGAATTAAAATATATATTTTATGGTCGTTGGTGTCGTCGTGGCATCGCGTCGTGTCGCCTGGCATTGATGGAATTTGTGTATGCACTTTAATTGTAAGCGCCAACACAACTCACACAACTCAGTCAGAGTCAGAAAATTGTTTTGTACGTTTGGTAGTTTCGTGCCTGCTGTTTGTTGGACCTAAACTTTAAACTATGTTTATGTATGTATGTGATGATGGTATTGTTGTTGTGGCTGTTTTCTGTGCGCCGCTGCTGTAGCTGGCGACGACAATTCGTGTCAATGTCAGCGTGATTTTAGTTTTTCTGATCATTTTGTTGTTGGTTTTTTGGCTGCAGCAGGGTGCAGGGGCTGTGGGCAGTTGGCATTCCCACAGGTAGGCGGGCCAAACAGGTGTTGATCTCGTCTGCAAACGAGTTTAATCTCATAATGCATAACATATGCCGTCGCGCCGCGTCGCGCACTAACAACAGCAAGCAGTCAAAGTGCAAGCTGTGCAAGCAGTGCAACGATAGAACACCTGAATATGGAGACATAAAAGAAACCTTGAGCTGGCTTTTACTCAAATGGGATGTGCTCAACCTTCAAATCTGCAAAAAGATATTGAGACTATGCTGCCACATATATGTATGTATGACCAGGGAGATTGGTAGTTCTCGGGGATCAAGAGGCGCAAGTGGTGGCATTGGCTACCCATGATTTCATATACACATCTTTGTAGGAGCCTCCAGTATCTCCATGAATAGACTGAACAGAAGCATGCCTCCATTCAAAACTCGAATACCCGCTGCAAGGGTACATACATATGAAATGCCTGCAAGTAGCAGCCACAGTAAATAATTCACTCGGACAGGCACTCGCTTGTTTGAAACGTTTCCAAAACGGACTCTGATTGAAATATGCATTTTTGAAATAGTTTTGCAAAACGACGGACGAGTGACACAGAAACAGAGAGAGAGAAAGAGAAACAAAAAAAAAACTGAATGAGTGAGACAAGAGACTAAGCCAAAAAAAATTAAACAATGCGAATGTGAGGGAAATGGAGAAAATACAAAATAGCAACAAAATAACAGCTGCTTCTTCTTTATCCACACCCCTTGATCCGCCTCTCTTGGCTTCTTCCACCTCTTGTTCAATTTTTCAGTTTTTTGCTTATTTCGGACCCGGCTCACGGTTTCACTGGAAGCGCGTGAAAGTTGCGCTCCGAAACGACAAATGAGCAACATGGAAAAAAATGCAAACAAAAAGCACACCGAAGAGAAGCCATCAGAAGGTGGCCCAAAAGGCCAAGCCCATGGCCCACAGCCCAGGCACACAAAAACAAACCCACAAATTAACCAAATAACAACAATAACAAAAAAATATGCACACAAAATAATATCAAACAAAAAAAAAAACCAAATCCACAAAAAAGCACATCGTATACGCACTTTTTTTTGTGAGTATTTCTTATTTCACGCCTGCCACAAAAATGTTGCGCAAAGCACAAACCGAGAGATCTTGTTGCCGTATTTATGACTTTTTCCTCTCTTTTTTATTTATTTTTTTTTTTGGCAGCACTGCAGGCAAATTTGGTGCATTCACGTAACGGGACTTTAAATGCGGCGCCAGAGAAAACGAAAAGCGCGAACCGAACTTTATGGCATCGCAGCTGAAGATTGACTGAAAGCGCCCCAGCAACATACAAGACGCGGTTGAATCGAAGCAAGCCAAAGCTTCGGCGAAGCGAACCGAGCCGAAGCCTACGAAACCGAACGCCTGAAAACGATCGCACGGAGAGAGAGAGTGAGAGCTACCTACCCAGGCCAGTTCGGGGCTCTGAGCATAGTTTACAAGGTGAGGCTATCCTGGAGCGCGGCCTCTCATCATCTTGCTCTCTGTGGCTCTCTAAGATGTTAGTGTTTTTCCCGGATCTGCACACTTCCCATCCGTAGGTCTCACTTCCGAACAGAGGCCGCTACATGGATGGCTTTTACCTTTGATTTAATATACCTTCACCTTGGAACCAAGGTGTGCGCTCCCCATTCAATAATGTATCACAGGGTACAGGCAGATCTTATCGCATTTAGGTCACGAGCGAGCACAAGCTAAAAGCTTATAGAATAGCAGAATATCAGCTAACAGCTGACAGCAGGGGTACTCCACACACTGTTTATGCTTTGCTTTGAGTACGCAAATCAAAACGATTTTACGATTTGGAGTCAAACGGAGAATACTGGAATTCCCAGGCTTATTTTTGGTATGCGCATTTCCTTTGTGCTCCTTTAATGAAGGTTCTAGTTTAACAGCAGAAATACAATCTTGTTCTGTGCCATTGGTACAGCAGCATACAGCATACAGCATACAGTATATACTTTTCGTTTATTTTTCATAAGTTACATTTGAATTAGGTTTGCTTGGTTGCTTGAATTGGTTGGCTTCGCTCACTACTTATCGTTCTTCATCTGCTGATCACTTCTGCAGCTGTCCTACTAGCATATACTACATATACGGGCATCATTGCGCTAGAACACACACTGTCTGGTGGCTCCGACACACGTATCGTCCGTCGTGTACATGGGGTATGGTATTACGGGTATTACGGGTTGGATCTCTTCTATTGCTTAACATTACGAGTACAAAAATACATTGACTTTGTGATTACAACAACATCAGGCTGCTTCTGGTGATAGCCATCTCTCTGCTCCTTGCTCCTTTCTCCTTGCTCTTACTCTTTTACTTTCTTTTCTTCCTTCTCTTGCAATCGTATTGAAATTTGAATTAAACATTTAACCGTACATATATCGTTCGCGTATGTTATTTATCGTATATATATATGTATGTAAAAAAAAAAAGAAAATAGGTAATGGAGAGCCCGAATAAAACGTGTTTGAATTTATGCAATAGGCAACAATTAGAATTAGCTGGTGGTGCTGGAGTGCTGGCGGGGAATGGGCTGGGGGAGAGCCCTAGCCCTAGCCCTCCTGGCCAAAGTCCTCTGTGAATTTGCGCAGCTTCTTCAGGTCATCTTCGTTGACTGTGGGTTTCGTGCGCGACAGCGATTTTAGCATGTCGCGCTGCAAGCAGAGTTGTGAGATGTGAGAGATTGTGGGGGAAGGATTTTTGATTGATGCCTACCATGGTCACGGCCGGTTCGAAGAGCTTGTCGCTAGGCACATCCATCCAGTTCATCTCGACGGCGCCCGCATCACCTGGAGAGCATGGGATAAGCAGGTCATCGACAGTCTCGTCCTTATTCGAGGGACTGGGTCCCGTCACCTTCTTGAAGTGCGTGGCCGTTTGGACCTTTCGCACGGGCTCCATCAGTGCATCGCGCACCACAATCGATATATCCGCACCAGAGTATCTGAAATATAATGGAAAATACACAGCGTCCGGTTAGATTCTAGGTTCTAGGAGTGTTCCAGCAGGTATCCCTGTGCACCCACCCCTCGGTTTTGCCAGCCATCTCCTTGAGATCCTGTTCGGTGAGGACGTGTGTGGTGTTGCCCAAGTGTATCTTGAACATGACAAGGCGGGCATGCGCCTCCGGCAGCGGAATGTAGATGCGCTTCTCGAAGCGTCGCCGGATGGCAGAGTCGAGGACCCAGGGTATATTGGTGGCGCCCAGGACCAGGATGCCGTCCGTGTCGTTGCCCACGCCCTGCATCTGCACCAGGAACTCGGTCTTGATGCGACGCACACTGTCGTTCTCGTTGTCGGAACGGGCCGAGCACATGGAATCGATCTCGTCGATGAATATGATCGATGGCTTGTGCTGGCGGGCCAGCTCAAAGAGATTCTTGACCAGCTTCTCGGACTCGCCCAGCCATTTGGACATCAGATCGGAGCTGGACACGGAGAAGAATGTGGACCGGTTGGCTTCGGTGGCGACTGCCTTGGCCAGGTAGGACTTGCCCGTACCGGGTGGGCCGAACAGCAGGATGCCCTTCCAGGGTATGCGCTTGCCGGTGAACAGCTGTGGGAACTTGATGGGCAAGATGACGGCCTCTTTGAGGGCCTCCTTGGCGGCGTCCAGACCGGCCACATCGGACCACTGCACCTGCGGCTTCTCGATGACAATCGCCCCCTCCAGCTTGGCCTGCAGCTTCTTCTTCTCCGGGTCGTCGTCCTCGTCATCGCTGTCGCTCTTCTTGTCCTTGTCGTCCTTGGAATTGGACTCGTCGCCCTCCTTTATCGGTTTCTTCTTGCCCTTCTTCAGGTACTCCTTGAGCTTCTCGGCCCGATCCAAATACTGCAAGCACTTGGCTCTGATCGAGTCCTTGGCCTTCTCGCCCTGCGCCTCGTCTGGAAGGGTGGGAAGGGTAAGAACGTGCCGAAGCTAGATCGATTCATTCCGAATCTCGATCCCGAATCGCGGACTACTCACATTTAATCGTATGCAGAAAGTACTCCACTCCGTGCTCATAGAGGCGCAGTGCCTCGGCATAGTTCTTGTTGCGATCCTCCTCGGTGGCCTTGGTCACCAGGTCGATGGCCTTCTGTAGTGTGGTGCCGGATGCCATGCTGCTGCAATAGTTAACACAATCAATTGGTTTATAGTCTACTCTGCCAGCAGTGACGTCATAGGGGCTGTGTTTATTAAAAAAGGGGGCGGGAGCTGCTCGTCTTATTGATTTTGCTGAAGAAAACTCAAAAGGAGGCGTCCACACAGCTATTCTCTCTGTCTTTTATTTTTCATCTTGTTTTTCTGCTGCCGCTGCCTGTGTCTGTGCCACCATCTCTGTCTGCGGTCTGCGGATGATGGCTTGGCCGAGATTTTTTTCACCCATTTAATTCGCTAGGCTAGCGATGCTCAGGCCGAGTACCCAGTCAGAGTACGAGGATGACACAGTGTCAAGGGGTGCTCCTGCTGCGGCGCTTCCCCGAACAAAATCGACCTTCTGTGCATGACTAATGCAGCGCTTTGGACAAAAACAAATTGCATGACGAAGACAGGCAGGCAGGCGCCCAGAGCGGCAGCGGGGGGAGATATTTGAGTTGTTTCGTTGGTTGCGCATTACTCACATTTACGCTGTCTGGCTCCAAATCCCAAAAACTAAACTCTTGCCGCGCACAGGATGCAGTGGGTCGTACGCTTGGGGGCTGTTGGATGCGGCTGGGAGTGGAACAGAAATAGAAACTGCGAATGACGACGTCTCCGTCTTGTTTTGTTGTTTTTTTTATTTTTTTATTTGGGCGCTGCCAGATCAACAGAAAAGAACATTAGCCCATTGTCGGCCAGAAGGTGCGGATCAACTATCGGCCAACTATCGTTCCAACTATCGATATTTTGATCTTTCAGCGCAAAAAAAATCCTTGAAAGCTCTGGATTTTGTAACGGCATAGGTCACACCTCATACCCGGCGCAATTAAAAGTTCAAATTCAAGTTCAAAGCTTGAAACGTGTAATTACCGCGAAATTACAAATAAATAACAAATGATAATACGAGTAAACAGTTTTATCAGATGATTATCCTTGTATGCGGTAAATTTTCTGGGGCCGTTTTTCCTATTCTCCAAATAGTACTATTTTCCGTGGCTTAGTTCAAGTTGCTTACCCGTTTAAATAGAGGGGGGTTAAGTGGGCTAAGTTAGTTCACTCATCGGTATTCGGTATTCGGTATTCGGTATATCGGTAGTTACAATCACAACTATTACCCAATTCAAAGTAAATACGTACCAGGCCCAGGGTGACGCAAACACAATGGCAGCATCCTCAGCCCCGCCCCCGAATACGGCGAATGCCACCAAGGAGGTGGACATCTACCGCGACACCTTCATCCGTTACATGGGTGAGAAGCGCAGAAAAATGAAATTCCAAATCGAAACAAACCCAAAACCCGTTGGCGGTGGGTTCTGCCTCTGCTTTTCCAGGCTACAGCAATGAGATTGGCGAGGCCTTCAGACCCCTGGTGCCCAAGTCGATTGTGGCCGCCTCCTATGGCATGGCCATTGGCTACGTGTGCACCGATACCTTCGACAAGTCGCTGCGCCTGCAGATGGCTGGCGCCTCCAATCGCGATGTTGCCATCTTGGCCGGCGACGTTTTCAGCTGGCAGATGATGGCCTCTGTCATAATTCCGGGCCTGGTTATCAATCGGTAAGCGGACAGAGAGCAGCTGCGTCACCACATTCTTCGGCACTTCTCTCTTCCAGAATCACCTGGGCCAGCAGATTGATGCTGAGCAAGGCGCCAGTGGGCATCCTAAAGACGGTGCCCACGCTGATAGGACTGGCCAGCATTCCCCTGATCATCCATCCCATTGACAGTCTCGTGGATCGCGTAATGGATGAAACTTACCGCAAAAAAGTGCTGTAGTGAAGGCAGGCCTCCCGCTCCCCACTCCGACTCCTTGTCCCGGTGATAGTCTTTAGCCAAATGCCACACAAAATGAAAACGATACATGCCACTCTGCTCTGCATCGTAGATGACAGCCAGGGCAGGGCCTTGACCCAAATGCAATTTGAATCGATACGAAATACGCGTAATACATATTTGATAAATTTACGTTTTATTGCAACTGAGACAACACGGACACTCCTCGAAAGGGATTTGGGTGGGGGAGCCGAACAGGGGGGGGAAATGTACAATATGCTTTATAAAAATACTTTTTTTTTTTCTATACACGCATGAGGCCACTGTGGTGGAATGCCGCACGACTGCTGGACTTGACTGGACTGGACTGGCATCTAGTTCTCGTCCTCGTCATCGTCATCGCTGTCGATCAAATAGGGACTGTCCAGTGCACCCAGGCCGGCGGCCACGCCGCCCTCGTTGGCCGTCGACAGCTTGGTGCGCAGCATGTGACCGGCCTGGTAATTGTGAATGATATGATCGGCATCGCCGATGACCACCCCAAAGATTCCCAGCTCGGAGACCATGTCCACAATGGTGGGCGGCATCTCGGCGCCGGGACGCACCATATAGCCCTTGGTCAAGGGCGGATGTATTAGGTCCATGAGGATCCAGGCCGAGCGCTCAACGCGCGACATACGCTGCAAGGCACAGGAGACGCGGCAGAGATTAGAGAAGGATTCTCGTCGATCCGGGGGCTGGAACTCACCTTGAGCGCCTCTGGAATGTCCACGCCATAGACATTGTTGCCACCGCCCTCGCGCTGCGGCTTGAGCACAAACTTCTCGGGTGTGCGCAGGGCCATCTCGTAGGTGGCATTGCCTGCATCGTTGTCGTCCAGCGAGTAGAGGCCGGTGAAGATTTTGCCCACCGCCTTCATCTCCTCCGGATCGTTGATGAAGCGCTCCAGCACCGCCGGCTGGGCCAGTGCCTGTTGCACCTTCTTCGTACCCGCCAGATGGTATTGGATCGACGGGCACTTGATGGCCAGCGACGTCTCCATCAGGTAGCGGGCATCCCACTCGTCCTGCGAGTGATAGTGTCCGGGCTCGTACCCAGCACGGAAGTAGATCACAGCCACCTCAAGTTTACCACCCCTGGAGGAGCAGCGCACACATGAATTAGACAGGGACCGGTGTTAAGGGAATATCGGGGACTTGTACGTACAGCAGGAGCTCCTTGTTCAAGCCGAGTTTACCCTCGCGATGGACATCGGTGAGGGTGCGACGCAGCACCTTGATGTGTGGATAGGTCTCCCGTATGTAGAACTCGTGGAAGCGCTGGTCGCAGATGTTGTACGACACGTCCTCAATGATGAACAAGATCACGGACTGCGGCTTGGCATAGATATCCCAGGCCTTGACCATTCCGTCACAGAGTCCAGCCAGGGCGTTGTTCTTGGGCATCTATAGGCAAAAATAATTAAGGCTTAAGGTACAAGGTACAAGGATGCGGAGGGATACTCACATTCGGCAGCTTGTCGGCATGTCCCAGTTCCCTCAGCACGAAACTGATTCAGCGGATTGCAGCAGAAGATTGGAGCAGAGCGAGGGAGAGAGTGGAACGGAGAGGAGAGAGATATTAGCATAATTCTGTGCCCAGACCAGGGACCAACAACAACAGCAACAGACAACAAGAACAACAGGAGGGTTGTGGGGGTTTGTGGGGGGGACAAAGTTAGTTACATTTACACCGCAAAGAACTCTCGGATTAAAGGATTATAAATGGTGTGGATGTGTAGATGGATTGGTGTGTTGTGGTTGGGCGATTAGGGTTTTAGCTATGATAGATGTAAGCTGCTCAGCACCCCAGATGGAAGATGCAAGATGGCAGATGTTAGATGGAAGGGTGTCTAAACCAAGCCATGAGTGCATAAGGAGAGCATGAGACAAACGTTAGACATAAGTGTTAGATGTGTTTAAGGGGCATGCAACAAACAAATAGAACAACAGCAACAGCAACAGAGACAGAGACACAGAGAGAGAGAGAGAGAGATAGATAAAGTGCGTGTCTATGATAAGCCTGGATCTATGGTGATTCTACATTGAAGATGATTCTACGGATGAGTGTGGATTAGATGGGGCGGTGGGTGCGTGAATGGCAGAAGGCAGTGCTTAAGGTTTGGGGTAGAGGGGTGCTGGGGTAGTTAGAGGGTTTGTTTTTCTAGGTGTAAGTGCAGGTGTGTGTGTGTGTGTGTGAGGTGTGTGCTTTGTAAGTGTGAGTGTGATAGATAGAAGAGCGCTTAATACTTCTGCAGCTGCACCAAGTGTGTGGCAATGCCACCGAAACTGGAGGCAACCGTGTTGATTTCGACCTGCTTTATGGCACAGCCCTCGTACACGTGACCCAAATAGTCGGAACGCAATAGGCCGATGCTATAAGCCTGTAATTATGATCGTTATACATTATATATATATATATACACATTACATTTCACAGCATCAAATTCCCTTAATTCTAACTAAAACTTAATCCAAAATCAAAATATATTAAAACGAAACGAAACAGAAAAAAAGAAAGAAAAAAACTAAATCAAAATTTATATTGTTGCGCACCGTCCTCCCCACAGTCTATATAATTTATAGAGCGAGTCAGAGAGTGAGAGGGATGAGACACAGATACAGATGCAGATGCAGATGTGTGCAGAGTGACGGAACTCTGCCGATTGTATGATGGGGTGGAATGCGGGGGGCGGCGGGTCATATGAAATCTTCGGAATCCAACAGGTGTACATTTAAACAGCTGCAAATATCTCTATTCTATATAAATAATACACAGCTAATATTAATATCTAAACTGTAAACAGTTTCTGCTCCGTCATTGGGTGTTCTTGGGGGGGACAATAATAATGGCAGCCGCGTTGACTTCTGTTTCGTGTTTGGTTTTTGTGCGATAAAGCATGGAAAAGCAACAACGACAAGGCAGCAGGGCAGCGGAGCAGCTGATCCACATTGAGTGGCCATAATTTGTAATTATTATTTGTAACCAATTGCCAGAACAGAAACAGCCATGGAATAGCGAGGGAACAACGTATAGCTGCTATCCATTTACTCGCATACCGAATCCCACTCTCCTCTGGTTTGTCTTATCGCTGTACGTTTCAACGCTTTAACGTTAAACAAATAATATCAGCTGGCATTCTATTCCATTCTAGCTATGCTATCTAGCCTATCTAACTACTCGTGTATGGGGGGGGGCACTACAATCGTCGTCATGTGGGGTGGGCGCTGGAGTGGGCCGTGCTCGAACATGCACACACTTCTGCAGATATACAAGTGTGTGTAGTATCTCTCTGATCATGCGGGGAGGGAGGACTACTGACAGACACAGAACGGGCACGGAAAACATGAACATTATTAGATTTGGAATTGGAATTGGTATTGGAAGAAAATTGGATGATCTGGTTAAAGCAAATGTCGATTAGTTAGCTGCTTTGATTAGAGTATTAAGCGGGGATGCGGTCGATCATCGGGTGGGCAGTGGGCAGTAGGCGGTAGGCAGTAGAGGAGGAGGCGGAAGGCAGCAGAGCAGGCGACAGACTCAGCATTACTCAGCATTCTCTAAACGGGGGGACGACAACTCAACCGAAAAGTAATCATCAAATTAATTAGCAAAAAAAATACATTTAGAAATTAAATATATACACACATACATATACATATGTGCATGTGCACATGTGTATTGATACATAGGTAATTAAGGTTCGAACAGAATGGAGAACAAATGGAGGTTTAGCTTAGCTTCCTCCGATTAGGCTACAGGACACTACAAAGGCAGCACATACATATGGACAAAACAAATAAAAAAAAAAACACACACACGAAGCGCAGTGAGTGAAAGGACTAACATTCCGCTGTTTAACGGTCTACGGTTTTAAAAGGATTTGTGATCTGTGATCAATGATCAGATCAATCAGTTATCAGTGTGTGTGTGTGAGAGTGAAAATGAGATAATCTATGATCTATGGGTAGGGTAGGTGGATGATTGATGATGGAGTGTGGAGGGTGTGTGGAGGATTCGTTGGGTGACAGTGATGGTGGGTGGTTGTTTGGGGGTCGGACAGCACCTTTGTACGGTTTTACTTGCTGGTCCCAAATGGCCAAAGCCCGAAGCTATCGTATTGATTTCGACCTGCTTCCAGCAGCAGTAGGCGGCCGTCTTGCAATCCTTGGATGCCACGGTAGCGGTGGTTATCCCAGAGACCGTGGCTTGACTCAGATGCAAATTCCGCTTGGCCTGCTCCTCCTCCTCCTCCTTCGTTACTGCCTTGGTCTTGCCGCCGCCTCCTCCTCCTCCTCCGCTTCCAGTTCCAGCAGCAGCAGCAGCAGCAGTAGTCGCATGACCATCCTCGCCAGCCTCTCCTCGCAATAGCAGCGCCTTTGGCGAGAGCTCCGGGCATCCGGACTCAAGCATTAGGTCGCTGCGCAGCATCCCCAATGAAGTGCGCTTCGGATGGCGATCGTTTGATTGATTTGTTGGTTGTTTGGTTGATTGGTTGATTGGAGCAGTGCAGAGCGATGCAATGAGGTACGGATAATGGAGCAACAAATTGTGGTTGAGATTGATTGATAAATTTGGACAGATTTCGGTTGGATTCGATGGGTGTGTTGGGTGGTTTGTGGTTTGTGGCAGTGGCGGTGCATTGTGCCGGGTTAGATTTGGTTCAGTTGAGTTGAGACGCCGAGAAAAGCAGAATATATGTGAAATTAATTTCGTATTTAATAATAAAATGTGAATGCATATTATTCAATAAATAATAACAGAATTCTTGCTAAAACATAAACGAATAGAGTGAGATTGAGATTGAGAGGTAGAGAGCAACAGCATGTGAGGGGGATGCGGTCTGGAATAGGACTATGGGCTGGGACATTCTGGCATTCACTGATCGATTTACAAGCTAACAGATTGACTGGCGATAAGAAGACCGCTCCTCCAGGATGCGCGCATAAATCACGCGAGATTATCTGAAGCTTCCACTATGCACATGGGGCTATGGCTATGGGGCTATGGCTATGGCTATGGCTGGGGGCGATTTATGGATGGGATGGGCGATTAGATTACACCGACCGATGGGCGGTGGAGAGGAGGCAATAAATTAACAAGAAACCACCCACTGGCCTGCCCCTGCCACTGGACTAGATCTAGCTCCTGATGAATTTCTATGCCTATTGGCTATGGCTACTCCTATGGCTATGGCTATGATGAATTGTGTACTGGATGGTGGCTGTGTGGGTGTGCTCGAATGTGTGTGTGTGAATGCGGATGGAGGGATGTGTATGTGTGTGTGTGTGTGTGGGTGCGGGTGGACGCAACGAAGCAGAAGACGGTGTCTCACCTGGGTGTAGCCATGGGCCAGCACTTTGCGATAGATGTTAAACAGATTGGCGGTGAACTCATCCACCTTGATGGTCTCCGCCAGTGTGGTCGTGATGAACTCCTCATCGTGGGCCACATTGTGCATCAGACGATTGATGATCGGCTGCAGGGCCACCGCCTTCTCAAACTCCTTGCGCGGAAACGAGGAGGGGACCAGCACAAACGGAGCAAACTATACGGCACACAATTAGCATTGGGGATCAACACTCAACGTTCGCTACTCACGTTCAGCGAATCCGGACTGAAGCTGGTCTTGGAACGCATTGCCGCACCGTGCATGATGGCATAGTCCTTGGCCTTGGCCGTCACCTCGAGCAATTCTTCCTCGGGCAAAGGCAGGCGAATGCAGTTACGCAGCACGGGTGTGTTGGGATCGACGGACATGGTTCTGATTCTGATTCTGCTTCTTCTTCTGGCTGTGGGACTGGTCTGGTCTGGCTGCTGCTGCTGCTGCTGCTGGCTGAAAGTACACAATCGATGGTCAGCGACTCTCCGGCTAATCCGATTTGTGGGAGTGCCTCACAATTGCCGCCTGTTCTTCGAGAATGCTCGCTGCTGAATGCCAGCAGTCACAGTCACAGTTAGTGTGGTTTGTGCTTGTGGTAAACGTTATCTCTGCCGTCGACTCTATTTCGTCACCAGACGCACGCCCTCGCTGCTCTGCTCGGCTCTGCTCCACTCTTTTGCTTGAGGTCTGCCTCGGTCTGGGCTGTTTCTATGGTTACACTCGTCGTCCCTTGATATCGATCGGGTACACGATAATTTGGGCTAATTTTTTTTTTTGATTTTGGCGTTGTTAAAGTTACAAACTAAATCTCAAATTGATAGGGGGGTGGGGCAAAAAAAACTCAAACAGAAATTTTCAACAAAACCAAAACACAAAACCAATATTAGGGATGCGCGATGACAGCTGATCTGTCACGAGCACACAAAAATATCGCATATAAAACATTTCAGATACATTTTTTTATATTTTTATACATAATGTCGTATATGTACATATGTATACGCAACCCTATATACATACATGCATATTATATGCTGAAAGTGCAGCAATTGCCGAAACCATGGAGAACTGGCTCGGCTCTTAGAACCTTTTACACTGTTGAATGTTTGCCTATCGATACATCGAATAGACGTCATTACTTTCAGCACTAACCATGCAGTATATAGACAGATGGGCCAGTTCATACAACGAAAGTGGCGCATGACGTGACACGAGCCGACAAAAGCGGTTAGTGCTAGGTTAGGTTAGTGGTTTCGTTCATGAGTGAAGCCGCCTTAACCCTTTTTAGCCACCATTGAAAAACCTCTACAACGAACATTTAGCGGGAAATGTAAAATGTGTCAAATGTCGCAAAGCATAAATTTTGCTACATGGATATGTAACTATCAACAGAGACATCTGACGGCCGTATGCGAGAACAATGTGATTCTTGGCAGCACTGGCGCTGTAGCAAAATTTGAATTTTTACGCGGTCACTCAGGGCGCGGTGCCACTCTTTTTTGAAAATCTCTTCTGTTTCGTGTAAATTCCGTGCGTTTTAATTAAGATGGAAACCACACGAGACGAGACGAGACGTATATCGTTATGTGTCTGATGGAAGCGTAGCCTGATTTCGTGGATGTTTTGAAACAGCGGGCAGCTCAAATTCAAATAAATAAAGCCAAACGTGCAGAGCATTCGCGATTTGGCACATCTGGCTGCGTTAAATGATTGTAAATACAAGGCGGCTGTGATAAGCTGTGGCCACCTCCCCTCCCTCCTCCGCCCCATCCGCAGGCCATCTTCGTGATGTCAGCTTGACGCCTGGCGGCTTTCTGGGTCACAGCAGAATCGATTAACACTTTTACTTTATGGTTTTGCTCCTTTTACTTCCCAAATCGAGGCAAATCGGAATTGACTGACGGGACTCCGCCCATGGTGCATGGCCCACCATTTTGCTGCTACTGCAACGGCAACGGCAACTGCAACTGAGTGCAGCATCCCAAGACACACGCACACATGCATACGCACAGGGGCCCTGGGATTGGTCTGTGGCTGTGATTTGCTGCGCTGCCTCGTGGGAAAAACTCGTTTTGTGGCGACTCCCCAAAGGCACTTGCTGCACTTGTTTTTCCAGTAGCCCCGCCAAGTAGGGCGAGCCGGGTGAGCAGCAGAAGGCATGCGGGAAAAATGAAAAATTGTGTAAAAAAATCAAATTCCAAAACAAATTAGCATATTTTGTGCCGCATTCTTGGTTTTTGGGTAATTTTTTTTATTGGTTTGCGGCATTCCTCAATCTACAAAAAAAAAAAAACACAAAAAAAAATCATGAATATCATTAAGAGATACTCTCCACATATACCTACCATATTGATTTGTGCGGCAGAAAGGCAAATAAAAAATAATATGCTCACAAATTTAATGCACGAATTAATTATAAATTCCGTTGGGCACCCGGTGACCGCTGCTCGGTTGTCCGTTGTCCCGTTGCCCGTTGCCCGTTGTCGGTGATGCGAAAGCGGACAGCATAAGCAGTTGATAAAACATCAGCAAATTTCATGATAAATACTTGTGTTTTATCGCTTTTTATGCTCTTTTGCATTTAATTTGAATTTGAAACGAAAGTTCTTTATTTATTGCCACTCCACAGGCTCCACAGGCTCCAAAGGCGTTAGCCAACACTGACCAGAGATGCTGCTGGAAATGCAGTTATCGCGCAAAGAGCGAAGAAAGTGCGCAACGGCATGCAAATGAGAAGAAATTAACTTTTTTTTGTTTTTGGTGTCTTGTGCTGTGCCGCATTGTGCGTGGCCTGTGGCTGTTGCTGCCACATCACATAATTGAATTCTAATTGCGTACTTGATGGACTTTCTTGGTGCGTGCGTCAATTTCCATAGAGATTGGAGCATTGCAGGTGAGGCGATCCGATTCGATCCCATCTGTGAGCGTGTGCATGTGCGTGTGCATGTGTGTGTGTGTGTCTCTCTCTTTGGGATGTTCATACAGTGGCGTCCGCTACTAAACGAACATGTATGTACCTCCACTGTAGGCACTGGCACTCACGTTTCGTATCGCCTCTGGGACAATGGGCAATTTTAGAGCCCCCGCGATACGATCGGCAGATTGTGTGTGTGTGTGTGTGTGTGGTGGGGTCTGGTCTGTGTGGAGTGCAGCAGCTGCCGTGGATTGCAGCGCACTGCGAAGCTGATGAATGGCAGGCAGTACAATATAATCGATGGAACGACTCTGCTGCGTATGCCCAGCTTTTTGCTGCAAATGCCTGCCCTGCCTTGCCCTGCCACACATAATATACCCGACTATACCCTGTGTGCTCTATGATTAGAGACCGTCTAATACCCCATCTAATATCGTTTCTGGGTGAACTCTAGATGATGTCGATCGTCGTGTTGAAGTCTACTCCACACAAGGGAGTGTGTGGAGTGTGTGGCGTGCCTGCCTGCAATCAGCACTTGCTATCAGGGCTCTCTCTGCCAAGAACAAGGTGTGTTCTTGTTACTGCCGTTGTTACGGCTACTGTTACGGCTACTGCCTCTGGTTTCTTCAGATACTATGTACTCGAACTGCTGCTGCTGCTGCTGCTGCTGGTGACAGCCTCTACATACAAATGGAGATGGACGCTGGACTCCAAATAGAGGCTGGGTCCCAGTCCCAGTTCCAGTGCCAGTCTGCGACTCCAGCTCAGAGATTTTTTGTGATTTAATGGCCTCTCTCTTTCTGCCGCGCGATTATTATTCAAGTGTGCATTACCATCTCTGCCCCGTACTCTCACATGAAATATGCGTATCTCTCTCTGCGGATTATTTGAGAGTGTATCCAACGGTAAGCAGCACTCCACCCAATGCCAATTCCAATCCCAATCCCATTCCGCATTTCCCATTCCAATCCCAATCCCAATGGTCACTGCCTATTATGGTGTGCCGAAGAACCCAACCTCTTCTGGGGGCCTGCAAATTTATGATGTTTCATTAGCATGCAAAAAGAGTTGACGATAAATGGCTGGGGCCGCAGCATTGGGACAATCCGTACAATCCGCAACGAAAATGTTCGCTACCTGCCCCTGCCCCCCCGGGGGGGCGCGCACAGCTCTGACTAACTTAAGTTAGTCACTAGTAGGTTCGGGTCAAGCTCTGATTTGGTATGCTTAGCGGCTTTCGTTGGCCTTTCATAATCTCCCCACAATCCAACAAGAAAAACGAAGCAAATTCAATAAATTAATTTAGTTTTCTGTTGTTGTTGTTGTTGTAGAAACTTTTGTACCGCAAAGAAATCTGCATAACTGCTTCATCGTCTCCCAGTCGTCTCTGTCGTTTCTTTCGCTTTGTTTCTTTTCAACAAAAGGTCAATTTCGCTTTTTTTATCGCCTGAACTTTGGCACCACGTGTGGCATTCCATCGCCATCTGCATCCTTTGTGCTCGAATAAATCACAGTTAAATCATTCAAAGTGAATAGAATATACAGAAAGAGATATGTATCTGGGTTTTAAATTTAGATGCTATTCCGCATGGTATCCATGGCATTTCTGCTGGCTATTTTAGGACGCCCTAACACCCCACATTCAATCTTCAACTTTCCACCTGGGACTATAACTGTCGTAGGGCTTAGCTGACGTGACCCACAAATGGCCCTTTGGCCTGGCCATAGAAAAGAAACTTTCATCCGCCTTGTTTGGCAATCCCCCCATCGATTCGATCGGCGTTTGGCGGGGTTATTAATGATGGTGTCGATCCATTGACCCCGCCAGAAAGCTGCTCCCCAAAACAAGTTCTAGAAATCTCTCGCTGCTCGAAAGAAAGCCAAAGCCATAGCCAGAGCAACAGCCACAGCTACAGCCTGATGCTGGGCTGATGAATAATTCAGAGCCCCCTCCGGTTCGAGGAAACCGTTTTCGTATTTTTCTATATTTCGCTGCGTTGCCATTTCTTTTCTTTTGGCAATTAGCTGTGGGTCAATAGGTTCGCGGCACCGCGAGCTAATATAAGTCGCTGCCGGCGCGTCGGACAGCTCAGTTTTAGACGCGAGTCGAGATGAGGAATAGCTGCGTTTGGGCCCTACTGGCCACCATCGTGCTGTGGCTGGCCTTGGCCACCACCACCACCAATGCCGAGACCATGATCGAGGTGGACGAGAACGGAGACGAGTACGAGCTGAAGCGCTTCTTCATCCAGGGCCGGCAGCTGGCCGGCGATGGCAGCAAGTCCCAGTGCGTGGTGACGCGCCGCAAGCGCTCGAGCCGTGCGGTGGACCTGCCACAGTCCGTGTCCGTCAGCTCGCAGCAGGTGAACGTGGAACAGCTACCCCTGCCCGTGGTGGAGCATCGCGAGGGATCCTCAGCTCCACTGGAGAACGGCACCAAGCGGCGGTATGTGGCCTTCACGGGCGTGCATCTGCAGCCAGCCGACGAGGAGGACGAGGACGAGAACGAGAACGATAATGATGACGATGATGATGAGGATTTCAACGAGAACGAAGAGGAGCAGCATCCCAAGGCTCAGGCACAGTCACAGGCACAGTTTGTGCCCGCCGCCCTGGCCCTGCCCTTGGCCCAGTCCAGCGCCTCCCATCTGCCGCATGGCGTGAGTGTGGTGGCAAATGCCGCCAGCCATGCCAACGTGGCCGGAGATGCGGGCATTGTGGTCGTGCAGTCCCACCAGCCGCCCAAGGTCAATCCCGACACCCATGCCGTCTTCGAGCTGAAGCCCGTGCAGTCGGACATCGTGCACGAGGCGCCCATCCAGGGCTACTATCCGTTCGTGGCCGGCACCCACCCCGCCCACTGGCAGGAGTATGAGGCGGAGGACGAGGACGACTACGACGAGGATGAGGACGACTACGACGACTTCTACTACGGCGGCCAGGGGGGCGGCGGGTACTACAGGGAGCGGCCCGGCTACCATCCACTGGGCGAGTACGACGAGGAGATCATCTCCGAGGACAGTCCGGTGACGACGATTGCCACGTGGAGCACTGGCATCGATGAGGATGACAACGACATCCATCCCGTCATCAACCAGGCCAACTCGAGGCCCAACAACAACAAAAACAACAACAACAAGAACAAAAACAAAAACAACAATAAAAATAAGAATAAGAATAAAAACAAAAGGAATCAGAACAAGCGAAACCAGAACAGGAACAGGAAGCAGCAACACAGCAGCAGCAGGTGAAGCGCAAGCAGGAGCAATTGGCGCTGGCAGAGAAGGAGCAGGATCAGGAGGAGCAGCAGGAGGATCAGCTGCAGGAGGATCACAACAGCCAGGACAATGTGAACATCAAGGAGCAAAAGCAGAAGCAAAAGCAAAAGAAGAAGCCACAGCACAGCAGCAGCAGCAGCAGGAGAGTTCCATGGATGTGACCAAGAAACCCATGAAGAAGCCAACGTCCAGCAGCAGCACCAGCTCCGTTTCCGTTGCAGCTTCCTCCTCGGGCAACACTGCCGCAGCTGCGGTGATCAGCTCCAGCGGGGATCTGGCATCAGCCCAGCCGAACAAAAACAAGAACAAGAAGAAGGTGAAGCGTCCCAGTGCCGCCAGCAGCGTGAACAAGCGAAAGACCAGGCCCAGCAGCCAGAAAAAAAAGCGTCCAAGCAGCAGCAGCAGCAGCAGCAACATCTCCACCAGCAACAAGCGGAGACGGCCCAGTTCCAGCCCGCAGCTCCAGCAGCGCAGCGGCTCCGGCAGCATTGGCGGCTACCGCCGTCGTCGCCCCCAGCAGTCGCTCAGCGAGCAGGAGCAGGTCCAGCTGCAGAAGGAGCGTCGCCGCCGCCAGAAGCAAAAGCAGACACGCAAGCGACAGCAGCAGCAGCAGAAGCGTCGCCGCCAGGAGCAGCAGCGCCGGCGCAGGAACCGCAACAAGAATCGCCAGTTCTACGGCGATGAGCCCATCATCAATTGCATCTACATCAACAAGGATCCGCCCACAACCACCACACAGCGTCCCTTCTGGAATATCCTGGGCCGCGACACGGGCAGCAATGAGCCCACACCTGCCCCCGCAAGAGCAGCAGCAGCAGCGGGTGGAGATGGGGATGCAGTAGATCCGGTGGCCAAGCAGGCCGTGCTCCAGGCGGTCAGACGCAACTTTGGCGACTTTGGCGGACGCAAGCGAACCAGCCTGAGATTTGTCTCCTAAACGGACGGCGAGGGAACGCCCCTCGCCCATCCCAGAGGTGCAGCTACCCCCCTCCCCGCCACCGTTCCAGGATGTGTATCCTTGGTGTAGTTCTTTTTTTTTATAGCCCCTAGACTTAGTTCTTTTTTTTGTCGTATTTATTTATTTATTGTAATTGGATGAACTTTTTGTGTTCGATGTCGATGAAAATGCTTTTACCGGACGACACGTGGACAACTTTTGGGGGAGGGTTCGCTGTGCACTGGGCACTGGGGATGGATGCACTCTGGCATTCTGGCATTCATTATTGATTATTCTCGGGCCACAGGGACACGGCGAACAGAACAGAACAGAACAGGTGTGTAACCTGAATCTGTGCCCCGATTCCTCCTCCGGCAACGCCTCGCATGTCCTGGGCCCGAGCTGAAGTCCACCCCCTGGACAGACGACAGAGGAGTCCGGTCCGTCCTGGATATATCACAGCACACGGGAGCACACGGGACAGCACACTGAGTGCTGAAAGTTTGCATCCATGCTGCGCCAGCGGTGCGGCGCATACTTGCCGTGAGTCACTGTTTCATGGATCGATAGCAGCAGCAGCCAGGCAGCTGCATTGAGTGCAACTTGCGGTTCAAAAAAAGTATCTGAAAGATACACACACACACACAAACATATACAGAGAGAGAGAGAGAGAGAGACAATGTGGCGCACTTTTCTGGTCTGGCTTCCCGCCCACTGTCTAACTTCCCGTTGCCATGCACTTTCACGGGAAGAGTTTTCCCCTTTTGAGCAGAATTCTGCACTCACGCGATGTGCGCGAGTGCCCCTCGGTTCTGGTTCTCTTGAAATATATTCCCTTCATTTTGAAAGTTTGCTCACGAATATTCCGAATTGAATTTCAAAGGTTCTGGTTTGATACGTGCACCCATATCTACATATACATATCTATCTACCCACAGCTACTATAAATATTAAATCACAAGTTCAAGGCTACAGGCTAAATCTTAGCTGCTCTCTGCCATAATGGCCTCAATTTGGATCAGCTTTGGATCAGCTTTCCCCTGAGATAAATCCACATCTGACGGAGTCCTTTTTAAAGGGTATTCCCGTAATCACTGTGCACTAGCTCTGCTTTTCTGCTGCTGTCTCTCACTGGTTGTATGAAAATAAAAAGCGTATGCACACGGGGCACACGGGTGGTGGAAAGGGTGGGGAAGGGAAGGGACTGGGAGGTAAGGTATGGCATGGCCAGGAGGGTGCTGCGCTGCGGCTCTCGTGTCACTTTCCGATGCCAAAGGAGGAGAAACTGGGTGCGGAAATGGAGCCAGAGCTGGGCTCGGACCTGGCTGCTCCGAGGCCAACATTCGGCAAACGTTTTTAGTCAGTCATTCAAGAGGGAGGGGGCTGGGGCTGTTGCTGTTGCTGGAACTGGGGATACGACACGGACATGCAAGGGATGAAACGGACTGTAATCTGTGGTATTCCCTATATGGACACACATGGATAGACATCATTCAAGTGGGGTGTGTCGGGATCCGGTGTGTTTGCAAATTTTGCAAGGCAAATGAGAAGAATATATATGGGAAATCCTCTACATAATCGTAAGATCCTTTTCCATCGATGTTCTAGCAATTTTCCACTTTCAATTTCCAGCTTTGTTTCCATTTTAATATCCAAATTGCTTTGCTTTTCTCACGCATCTTCCTTTCCGTGGGGTTGTGCGATCCTGTGGGGTCCAGGGTGCCGTGGTGTCGGGGTGCCGGGGTGCCGGGGGTTGCTTTTTACTTGGGGGTTGAGTCACTGATATCGTGCAACGTTTGCAACTTTATTTCGGCTCATTTTTTGTATATCAATTTTTCCCTCTTTGCTTCCCTTTTTCCCTTCGGTTTTGTTTTTGTTTGAGAGCACGCAAATATTTACGCAGAATAAACATAATTGCGGAGGAGGCGGCTGTGGCCAAAGGGGAGGTTGTCCCAAGGCTGTTTTTTCCTGGGAACATACATATAAGCAGTTCCTACAAGCAGTTCCCCTCAGCAGGATACCTTAATGTCTGGAGCAGCAGCCAGAGGGCTGAGCTGCACTCCTACACAGCTGTGGTCAAGCGGGGTCAATCGTTCAGCCTGTTATCCCAACTGATTTATGGACACTTAAGGACCTACCCCCGCCCACTTCTTTATTCCTTCATGACCATGCCCATGGCCAAGGTGTGAGCAGCAGATTGGTCGCTCCGGTACAGATGTTTTTCCCTGCTGCTGCTGATCCTTTTTTTATGAGCGTGGCTTTTGGGTTTGCTCTCGATCCAGCTACGCAATGATTTGTCCGATTGTTGGCGAGCTGATAAATGTGTGGGAGGGGGCGGACGGGGAGGGGGAAAGGTGCGCCTATTTAGTCCTAATTGGCTGCCTAATTGGACCATTGACCAGGCCAGGCCAGGCGTTGATGGGGGCGAGGCAGTGCCCTACGTAGGCACGTGTCGCTCCCAAATGAAGCCCATTGGGAATTATTAAGCAGTATTTTGGAGCAGCAGAAGACGAAGCTGTACCTCATCTCGCTCTGCTGATATTTTCAGCTGTCGTCTGAGGGATGCTGCAGCCAGAGACAGATCAGAACCGATCATCAAGTTAATTATAAAGCGGCTGCGAGGCCTCAGCTGTCCGGGAGTGGCTGCTGCTGCTGCTGCTGCTGCGGCTGCGGCTGCGGCTGCTGCCCAAGTCGCGCTAAATTGGAGCCGAATGTGTGGCATCAAACTGGACAGTGTGTCTGGTCTGGGGCATGGCACGAGCCACGAGCCACGAGCCACAAGTAACCGCAGAAATGCAGCTTGCAGTCAGATCTGCCATATGAGTGGGAAAAGGGTCCGTTCCGAAGAAAAGGGAGCGAGTACCAGGAACAGGTACCGCATCATCATCATCATCATCGTCGTCATCCAAGGGGTGGGGGGGAGGAACATTCATCCTGCCAGAGGACAATGACGCTGCTGACGATGATGTTGCAGTTGCAGATCGCAATGGGGGGATGGGAACGGGGACGGAACGGGACCTTCATCGATGATCTCCCTACCGATCTGACTGGGGGCACGTGCCTGGCCCTCGGTTCATTTATTTACGATGCCTCGGATGTTGTCTGATGATGTTGCAAGGATGCAAGAATGCCTGCAACATGCGCGTGTCGTCGTCTCTCGATCGAGGGATTCTCGATGCACCTGTTGGGCCCATTATTTAGGGTCCGGTCCCGCTCCTTGGCGGGCACACAGGAACAGGTTCATCGCCCGCCGCTCTACCTGTGCCTCTCTCCCCCTTTCTCCTTCTCTCTCTCTCTCTCTCTCTCTGGCTGTCGCTATGAATGATGCTGCATCAGGATCGGTTTTATTGACCCCAGCGGCAGGGAACAGTTGCCAACTGCCAAGGACATGCAGCAGCAACAGAAGCAACAGCAGCAGAAGCAACAGCAGGAGTTGCAAGTGCAACGGAATTAGAGCAGCTCAAGGATGCCAGGCCTGGGGGGTGGGGGAAACAAATAAAACAAATAAAAATACTGGGCGATGGATCAGAGATCACAGTTGTAGCTTTCAGATTAAATTGGCTGGAATTATCCGCACTCAGAGAGCAAAATCGAAGCAAAAAACGATCCTAGCAGAAGCGAAATAAATTGCTAACGAAACTTTAATATCAACAAAAATGAATCTAATATATTTATTTAAATGTACACCAATGGGGTGAATTCTAGAGATGTGCAGAAGTGGAATCAATCTTAGATCTACGAGTACCCAAAGAGACCCCAAGGAGAACAACGAACGAGTAAGGGAAAGGCTCTCAAAGCATATCCTCATGTGGCTAGAACCTATCTTCGTTCTATATTCTAATATTTATGCTTGCAGTTGTGCTGCCTTCACTCTGTCACATATCTCCAGTGTCTAATCTCTAAGCTATTCGTACGCCTGCTAAGAATATGTCCTACGTGAAGGGAACATAGAACAGGGAAGAGGTTTCCCCAGCAAAACCTTCTGTTTGTCTGTCTGTCTGTCTGCTGGCAGCAACTGACGCCCAGCAAAAAGGGAAGCTCTGGCGAGGGAGAGGGAAAGACATGTGCATGACTGCTTAATCTAATTTAACTTCAATGTCGGGGACGTTTTAATAGGAAAAAAGAAATATAATAAAAACGAGACAGAGACAGAGAGAGAGAGAGAGCAGCAGAAGAAACTGAAACTGAAACAGAAACAGAAAAAGAGGAAGAGCCAACCCTATTCGTACGAGTATTGTCGTAAAGAAGAGGGCTGAGAAAAATAAAGGAAAACCTGCGGGAATGCCAGGACAGCAGCAAGCAGCAGCAGCAAGCAGCAGCAGCAAGCAGCAGAAAGCAGCAAGCAGCAGAAAGCCAGAGGCAAATGTAGAGGAGGCCCAGTCCAGAGAGCAATTAAAGAAAACGAAATGATATGATCATGATGATGATTATGATGATGGTGAGGGAGAGGTAGCTAAAAGATACCCGTAGCTGGGTATGGGCTATGTGGCATGGGGCACAGGTAGGGGGGAAGCACAGGCGAGCACAGTCAACCGCAGCGCCGGAAGTGCTGCACAAAGAGATAGAGATAGATAGATACAAAGATACAAAGATGAAGAGCAGACCATACCAAACCAGACGCGACCAGGCCAGGCCAACGTCGATTTGGGCCAGACCCGGGACAGCGACAGAGACAGGGAGAGGGACAGGGGGCACCCGCGAGAGATCTCAAGACCAAGTCGACTCAAGTCGGGGGCATCTTCCTCATTTATCCAGTCATTCATTTGCTGCTGCTGCTGCTGCTGCTGCTGCTGCAGTTGCATTTCGCGCTTGAGAGGGCACGTGCCCCTGTGCAGTCGTCGGTGAACCCACATGACATTTTTATGCCCCTCCAAAGGGTACCCCGCCCCAGGGGTACGCTGTCTTCGTTGCTATTGAGAAACTTTGAGGATCTTTTTACATATATGTATAGACTGGCAGACTGATATGTATATTTATATCCTTTATCTGGCGATTCGTAGTGTGCCAGCTACCAGGTACTTTGTAGTCGTGCTCTTTGGCGTTGCCTTTTGTTTATCCGCTTTTTAGCCACTCTTTTTTTTTGTGTGTATCTTTCGTGCTTGCCCCTTTTGGACATGGCTTCGCCTCTTCTGGCGATACAGATGTGCGGGGATGTGTCTGCTCTTCTCCAGCTGCTGTGCCCACTCTCTCTCTCTCTCCTCTCTTTCTGGGATTACTTTTAGCGGCAGCTAAGAAAATGCATAATAAGAATTACCCACTAATACTTATATTTTCGCGTCTTTCTGGGATATCTTTAGGCGGCGAAGAACCACTAATATTTAATTGCTAGGAGGCCATTTGGTAGTTGCTTCAGGTCTAAGCATAATGCAGAAATGTGAGCTGCAGTTTGGATCAAACGTCGATTAGTTTTAAAGATGAAAATCAAAGATATGTACGAACCCATTCAACTGCCGAATATTGAAGATCAACTCAGTGTCAGCCCCCACGTTTGAGTTAAAGATTTATCTGTGCTGCAGATCTACGCTGATCCAGCGGGTCTTCGGCTCAGTTGGCATTTGGGGGCTTCAATCAGCTTAGGACCCAAAAAAAAAAAAAAAAAACAAAAAAAGGAAAAAAGGAACAAAGAAAAGAAAAGACTCTGAGTAGGTACTGTCAGGAAAAGCGGCGGGGAAGCGGGAGAAGAAGTTGCACAACTGCCAGTAATCGAGGAGTGAGTGGCAAGGGGAAGCCCACACGGAGCAGTCCACATGCCACGAACACGCTGCCACACGTTGATGTGGCAATAATCCTCGTATCAAGATGATGACGAATGTCGCCTTGCCTCACCACACCACACCACACCATAAATGCTATTGGAGTGGCCTTGCAGCTGGCTCGCTCTCTCCCCCACCCCCCTCTCTGTAATTTCCTTGGGCTGAGGCTCTTGTAGCGCTTCTTCCCCGCCGCAGGGAACAGCTCCTTGCTTCGTGGGCAACGCATCAGCAACTCAGTTGATTTGGCATTTGTCCTTCTGTTCTGTTCGGTTCGGTTCGGTCATAATCTGGACCATGGTCGTACGCGGCCCGTGGTCTGCGGGCTGTCGCCCCGCGTCGCGTCGCGTCAGCTGGAAGAGTTACTTAGTCCGGCGATCCTTTCCTGCGATCGACTTGACAATCGCTCGCCTTCGCAGCCGTTGCACGTTACACCACACGGCACACGACAAACGACAAGCGACACATGCAACGCCTACCCCCTGTCTATTCCCCTGTCTTGCCCCTTGCCCCCTTGCCCGCTGCCCTGCCTGTCTGCCTTATCAGGGGAGACCTTCTGTCTTGGCGGCTGTCTTCGGTTCGCTGAGCAAATGGCGGGAAACCAAATCCACACAACACACATGTCCATCGTCTTATCATGGCAATGCCTCCTGTTTCGCTTGGGAAATGCTCGACTCGATCCCATGCGGGCGGGTGAAAAGCTAAAGCTCCTGCTCCAGCTCCAGCTCCAGCGACAAGCGATAAGCGCTGGCTGGAGCCCAGCTGGGGGCGTGGGAAAACGTGGAAAGCCAACAAAGTTGCAGCTGCCTCCAACTGAAACCTGAGAAACCTGACGGCGTGAGGCGTGAGGGTTAGCTCGTGGATTGTGGATTTACTAAAAGCCCCCAAATATACATCCCATGTGGCCAGCGTATATTCATTATATTAAACTGTGGGTGGCTGGTCGTGCCGAACCATGGCCAGATCGATGTCCAGATCAATGCCCAGATCGAGGCCCAGATCATTGGCCAAACTCCGCTTGGCAGCGGTGCGCGCCACTATCGCATTGCGCAGGCAGCAGGCGTGCAGCACCTCATTGTAGGTGCCGCAATGGAGGCAGGACTGGCGCAGTAGCTCGACGGCCTTGTCGGGGTTGTTCCGCTTGAGCTCCAGCGTGGCCAGGACGCCGTAGGGCATGTGGTACCGGGGATCCAGCTCGATGGCCTCGTACAGGATCGGCATAATCAGCTCCGCATTGTTATGCCGCCTGAGCTCCATGACGGCCCAGTGGGTCATCAGCATGGAATTCTTGGGCGCCAGTTCGATGGCCTCCTCGAAGCAGGCCAGCGCCCCGACGAAATCCTTGCGCTCGGTCATCAGCCTGCCCTTCATCACGGGGCCATCGATGGTGTTCGGGTACGCAGCGGACATCTCGCCCAGCTTCCGGAGCGCCGTCTCCATGCGCGGAGGGCTGTTCAGGCGTGCCGCCAGATGGTACTCGGTGAAGTGCTTCAAGGCCACGGGACCGACGTGGCCGGGCGCCAGTCGGGCGGCCATTTCGAAGTCCATCAGGGCGGTCTCAAGCTGCTGCAGCTTGCGGAGGATCAGGCCGCGCTGGTGGTGCACATCGGGATTGTCGCGCACCAGCCGCTCGGCCTGCTCGAAGGCGTCCATCGCCTCGTGCCCCCTGCACAGCTGGAAGCGGAGGGCAGCGCTCCGGATCAGCGCATAGGCACGCAATGTGGCATCCACCTGCGGATCGCCGATCAGTGCATCGAAGTCCTGCTGGCACTCCGCGCTCGAGCCGCACAGCAGGTGGAAGGTGCCGCGCATCAGCCTAGCCTCCGCCTTGTGCTGGGCCCAGTCCTCGGCGGACTCGATCTCCTCCGTGCAGGCAGGGATCACATCCTCGAAGCGCTCCTCCCGGAACGCCCAGTAGGCGCGGGGGAAGCCGCGCAGCGATCGATCGAAGTTGCCCGTCTGCAGGGGGTCGGCGATGAACGCGCTCATGTACGTGTTAATTTGCAGCTTTGAGGGAAAGAGCGGACCCCGTTGGCTCATGATCTGAGTGGCCTCGAAGCGGGCGCGCTGCAGGAGGACGCGCTGCCAGAATTTGTCGATGCGCTCGCGCTCGGGGCTGCAATCGGCGGTCCTTGAGTCGCGCATCAGGATGCGGCAGGCCGCCAGATCGCTGAGGCACTGCTCTGTGTCACCGGTGGCGTCGTGGGCACGAGCCCGACTCAAATAGATCGTGCCATTACGACAGTTGTACGCCAGGGCCTTGGCGCAGTCCGCCTTGACCTCGGCCCAGTTCTGGCGCACCACCTGCCAGACGACGCGGGTCTGATACAGCTCGGACATGCCCAGGCGATGATCCCTGATCTCCCTCGCCAGCGCCTTGTCACAGGCGTCGATCGCAGCGACCAAACTTCGTTCATCCATGTTGCTGTCTGCTTCCAGCTCCTGCCCAGCCACTTCTGCGCCCTGCTGCTCCTTCTTCTCCTGCTGCTTCTCCTGCTGCTTCTCCTGCTGCTTCTCCTGCTGCTTCTCCTGCTGCTCCTCCTGCTGCTCCTCCTGCTGCTCCTTCTGCTCCTCCTGCTGCCCTTGCCCCGCCTTGGCGCCGCAGCGCTGTGTGTTCATCCTCTTGACCACATTCTTGCCAATGCCAAAGGCCACGGGTGAGCCAACAATGAGCGCCAGCTGCCATTTTTTGAGCGGCATCTCGATCCAAATGTTGCTGAAATTAATTTAACTTTGTTAAAACTATTTAGAAAACATTAAAAATTGTGCGTATGACTGGGACTGATTAATTTAGCTATCGAAACTGATGCGACTCCTTGACTGGATTCGATTCGATTCTACTACTCTATTTTGGGGTATGAAAGTTCTCGGAGACAGCTCTCTGAGGGCACTCTGAGTGGCAAACGTACAGTCGCCTGTTTCCTGAGACGAAAACGGAGATTTTGCAACAGGAATGATGATGAATATTGGAGCTAATACTCGCAACTCGTACATGAATATATATATGTACACTGCTAGAAAAAAGGCATAGTAAAAATAACTACAATCATATTTGAATTTAAAATGCGATTTTTAAATACAAACATAGTAAAGTTTAATAGAATTCACTTTGATTCAAATATAAATGTATTAAAATGGCTTTTTTAATACGGTCATATTTAATCTAAATACAAAATACTTAAAAATAACTATAATATATTAAATTTGTACTTTCATATGTTTCATATTGAAATTGAATATTATTATGACTTGATTTCAAAATTATTGTTTTAAAATCAAAAGGAAAACCTTTTTATTTTCAATATTTTTTGTATTTATTTTAACTATGTTTATATTATTTTTTATGTCCCGCGAATTCCCAAGTGGTTCCAGCTGCTGCCGCCTTGAATACATAGTAAAATTATCTTTTCGCAGGGGCTTAATCACAACCACACAGCCATTCTAGTTGAAAAATTTAACCAATTCACACCATGAGGACATGAAATGTAATTTGCGAACGCAAAATAATAACCAATTAGTTAAAAATGAATATAAATATAAATATGAAACATATTAGATTTAAATACACTACTCGACAAAATTGAACTTTTGATTTAGGCTGTCAACCAAAATGACTTTTTCTGATAGATTTCGGGATTTAAAATATTTTGTTGTACTTTATTATTTTTTTTTTTTTGGTGTCATTTTCTTTTAAAGAATTTTTAAAATCTGGTATTTTTTTCTTGGTTTTTTTCAGAGGTAGTGCTTCTGTTTTTCACATAACTTTAGTATCTTATATCTTGTTGGAACCTTGCAGTTCTGAAAAGCTGACAAACGCAGCTATAAATCCGACCCATATCTTTTTGTATCTGCAGCTTAAGGCCTGGAAGATATTAAGCTTTCAAATTCAAATTTCATCATTTTTTGCGGTATTATTTTTTCGAAATTTAGATTTTAAAAGCTCGGGGAAGTCGAACCTTTTTGGAAGGTTGCGGGTCCAGCTGCCAATTGGAAGCAAAGCAAACGAAAATGGCTTGAGTTTCACTACTCGATAAAATTGAACTTTTTATTTAGGCTGTCAACCAAAATAACTTTTTCTGATAGAGTTCGGGATTTAAAAATTGTTGTAGTACTTTATTATTTTTTTTTATAGTGTAATTTTTTTTAAAGAATTTTTAAAATCTGGTATTTTTTTCTTGGTTTTTTGCAGAGGTAGTGCTTCTACTGCAGATACAAAGTGTCTGGGTATGATTTATAGTTGCATTGGGCACCTTTTCAGAACTGCAAAGTTTTATGCAACCAGATATAAAATACTTAAGTTATGTGAAAAATAGAAGCACTCCCTCTGAAAAAAAAACAAAAACAAAAATACCAGATTAAAAAAAATTTTTTAAAAAACAAACTACACCATAAAAAAAAACCATAATTCGTAAAAAAAATTGTAAACCCCAAAATCTATAAGAATCTAAATTTTGGGCCACAGCCTAATTCTAGTGTTGACTAGTGATATTAAACATATTAAATTTAAATATGAAGCATATTAACATTAAATATGAAACATATTATGAAATATGAAACATATTAAATTTAAATATGAAATATATTAAATTTAAATATTTCTATATTAGTATCAAAATTTAAGTGAAAAATATTAAATTTTAATACAACCACTCTTGAATGAAAATCAATGGCATAAATATTAAAATCTAAGTGAACATATTAAAATTTCAGGGCTTTTTCTATCGGTGTATGTACGTAGTGCAGTGCCTGATTCCAATTTATATTTTCGGGGATTTTAATTTAATTTTTAATTCTTGTTATTGTTGGCTTCTTGCAGCGTTAATTCTTGCATCAAGTTACAGTGATTACTTCATTGATGATTCTTGGCTGCATTCATGGCAGGAAGATTCACGGTCGAATTGCCTTCACTCTCCATCATACAGCCAGCACCCCCACCAGCCCCACCCCAGCCCACTGCTTTGTACCAGTTTCATGGCTTGCACGTGATAATTGCAGCCCACTTGCATGGGATTTATACATACGTACATATACCATATATTCGGTTTCGGTTTCTGTTTCAATTTCTGTTTCGTTTTCACTTTTGATTGCTGTTTTGTTTTTTGATCTTCTTTTTATTATGGTGCATTGATTGTCTCAGTTTTATTGATTTTATACAGTACAAATGAATGCAGATTTTTAGTACCAAAATCTGTAATGCTCTTGCTTAAACAGAGCCTGAGGAAAGGGATTTTGGCAGGGTTTTCCTTTGCCTGAAGCTTCCTGGCAGAATAAACTGCAACACAGCTTATCCCCCCAAATCCCAAACTGATGCCAAAAATATCCATCTGCCAGGCTGCAAAAGTCTTTCCAAGAGTTAAAGTCAAATTCCATACGATTTAAACTCTGCCTCTCCCTCCCTCTCTCTCTCTGTCTCTATCCCAACAAAGACCCTGCGATCTTCGTGTTTGGGTATTTAATATATATTTATATACATTGTATTAAATATAGATATACATGCGAGTATATATGGAATTTATAGTGCTGACCGAAAGTCTGTCTAGCGTAAAGCACAGAGCACGAAATGCACGAAAAGTGTGGAAAAATGGGAAAGAAAAGAAAAAACGTGGAAAAGCGTTTCCTGGTCATGCTGTGGGCGGAAGGAAGTGCATGTGGCCACAAGAGGAATGGAATGGAATGCAGCACTCCATCCTCTATTCTCCATCCTCCATCCATCTCTCTTCTGCTGCTAACAAAAATGTCAGATGTCTGGGCCAAAAGGAATCGGAGCGTTGAGTCGGCGTGCCGAATGCAATTATGGAGTGTCTGCACTCCCAGCCAAATGGCACAGCCTTTGGGATTAGCCCACAGAGGAAGGAACACAAACACAAACAGAAACAGAGCCAAACCCATTTACAGATGCTTCCCGCAGAGCGTGGGCGAGACATGGGCCACACCCTGTCCCTGTCCCAACAGCCACCCTTAATGCCAGCCGTTTAGCTTCACCTTTGCCCCCGATCCCTGCCCATCCGCAGCGCCATGGAGTGTGCGTTAAAAGTCACGATTAAGCGCCGCATCAACCCACTAAATAACATCCCCCCGCCCCACTCCCCGGTCCACACTCATTCCATCTCTCGTTCACTTCCCTGCTCGACTCCGCCGCTCGAGGTTTCGTCTGACCAACTTTCGCTATTTGGGGGGTGGATGTTGCTGGCCCTGGCCCTGGCCCGGGCATGGGCTTGGCTTTCGGGGCATAAACTGCATGAAATGAAGTAATTAATTGGGAAAAGTTCACTCCACAGGTCACATCATGCGGCGAAAGGTCAGCGCCATCAGTTCACCATCATCGCCAGCAATGATGAATGTCTGCAGATTTATCAAACTCCATTAACATATGGCCTGAGTGCAAGTGGGTTGGGAGTTCGAACTGAGCAAACGAATTGGGCTGCAGATCAGTTTTAAGCGAACAAAAGGCTCCCCCCAAACGGATATGGAAATGCGATTATGCTCGTGGAATAGTCTATGTACATTCCATTTAGTAGCTTGATTTAATTCGTATACCTCTTTGCCAGAAGGAGCAGGAGGAGGGAGGGTCCATGGCCACTCTAGAATTTTATTTGAATTTTGTTTCTTTACCACTTGAGTGCCACACTGAATACCCAACTGAACACCCAACTGAATACTCTGATAAATACTTTTATCTGTAAGAGTTCCAGCACAAAGCTTCGCCTTGCTCTTGCCCTACACCAGATCGTAGCGGCCCCATCCATAATCGAAGCATATAATTACTGCAGGGACATAGCATGGAGAGCAGTAGCAGTGTAGCAGCTCTGGGACTCTTGGCTCGATGGGTAGTAGGAGCACAGCTGGCTGCCGGCTTCCGGCTCCTGCTGCTGCTGCTTCTGCTTCTGCTGCTGATTGCCGCGAAAAATGTCTCACTTGAGGCAAAAACGAAACTAGTTTTGCGCCTTTGAGAGCTTTAAATGTGGCCTGGGACTGGAACTAGAACAGGCACGGAGACGGGGACTTGGCTAGTTCTAGTTCTTGTCCAACATGACATAAGAAAACAAAAGGCAACGCCCTGGACAATGGACCACTCACCGAGGAGGGGACTGCCACAGAGATGGCGATGGTCAGCGCTCCGCACGAGAAGAGTGAGACAAAGACAAAGTACAAAGCACAAAGACAAGGACAGGGAGAGATGGTCGAGTTCGAGTTCGAGGCGCACAAAAGCACAAAGAGAGTGACCAACGGTCAAGAAAAGTTCCCAGCGTCAGCGGCATGGCGACCCGGTCTGGAAATGGGATAGGATAGCAGCTAAAATAAATAAATAAATAAATAGACGAAGGCGCATCGCATCCCGATCGAGAGCAAGCGCGAGCGCGAGCGCGAAAAATGCAAATGAGTTCGAGACCGGAATGGGCATCGGCATCGGCACCGGGACA